CTTTCGTTTTTTATTACTTATTCAACTTTGTTTATTTTATTACTTTTTTTTAATGTCTATCAAGATTAAATCATCCCACTTATGTGTAAAGGGGCCAGCTGAAAACCAGCGCAGAAACGGCCTGCGCCGTCTCTGCGTTAGCTGAGCTTGCCGCCTTTTGCCACATTTTTTACTAGCTTTAACGTTGATGTATGTAAGATTTTATTTGTAGCTTGTTTTTATGGCAATAAAAGTCCTATTTATTGTTATTCTTATTTATTTATAACATTAGTAAAAAGTACAATTGTTTTGTAAGTTTCAAGGGTGTATTGTGTTAATATAACACTTTTGTACTCCCAGTAATATCGTAATATTTTCACCATTACAAACTGTGCATTTGTAGCTAAAGTATATCAACAACAACTGTTTTCGCTTGAACACTTTTTTAACTAACATTAACTAACGTTATTATAGATATATTCTTCTCAATAATTTACAAAAGAAGTGGATAAATTAAACAGCGTAATTCGCTACCTCTGGATTTAAATTTTATGTTGCAAATCTTACTGTGCGACCTTTAGGAATCCAATAACTCTGCCTACCCCAATATGGATTCATCAAAGCGTAAATTTACAAATCTTATCCCATAACTTCTTTCATATCCTTCAACAATAAATAAAACATTAATGGTTTAACGCAAAGATATATTAAATCAAATAGATTGTAACCCTAATTTTTGTATCTCCCCTTCGTGATATTCCCCTTCTTATTTCCTAGGAGGGGGTGACTCCACCCCAGTGACCCTAACATTAGGGTGAGTCGACCACTTGATGGCCCGTTACAGCCCTGTTGCGGTTCCGATTAAGGGTTCCACAGATTAAATATATTGATATCGTATTTTTTTTATTTTAAAGTTGATATTTTCAGCCAGTTTGTTTCGGAAAAACCGAAAATATAGTTTTTAAAATCTATTAAAACATTAAAATGTACTAAATAAAAGTTACAGAAACGTACTAAAAAAACTCTGTCTTCTTATAGACAAAAATATAACCTTAGCTGTTTAGTTTTAAAGTGAGTCGTCAATAAAAAATTTTTTCAGTCTCTTTGAGAATCTACATTTATGTGTAAAGAAAATTAAAAACCTACTAATTACGTTTCATTAAGGTTTAATAAATTCTAGTACATTATAATGGCGTTTATACGTTTTTTTTTCTTTTAAGTACTATTTTATGTTTTCCACAAGTATGTCACATAAATAAAAACATAAACATTCTTAAAATTGGGTTAAACTGAGCTCTTAAATTGACGATATAACTTAAAAACTAGTAAAACGAAAACCCGTGGCGTCGTCCAGTCTGCTTTTATCAATGGGTGCGGGCACAATGAACTGTCAGCCATTTTGAATTTATAGCGCATTTTGTTTTGCGGCCGATTATGAGGTTATAGTTATTGTGTTAATACTATACAAGACCACACAACGTATTTATACTACAGGGTGTTCAGGTAGACAGAGTTTTCTGCCAAAATTGTTGAAATGAGTTTTATTGAATTACAATCGAGTGATCCGCATGGAATTAAGCAAACAAAATTAAGTAGCTTATGTGCTCTTCCAGACTATCCATTACAATGCCAAATTTCATCGAGATCCCTTCAGCCTTTAAAGCCTTAAAGGCCTTACGTCTTACTAATATTATAAATGCGAAAGTTTAGATGGATGGGTGGATAGATGGATGGATGGATGGATGTTTGCTAGCGTTTGTAGCCTAAACGGCTGAACGGATCTCCATAAAATTTAGCACAGGTTTAGAGCATAGTCTGAAAGAACACATAGGCTATTTTTTATCCCTGGAATAGTTACGGTTCCCGTGGGATTCATTAATTTAGTTTTTTAATGTTTACTCGATCATTCTGCAACGGTTCAACATATTGTATTGAAATTTCGCACAGATATAAAACAAAGTCTGGAGTACACATGGGATAAGCTTCATCCCCGAGAAATGTCCGCTTCCCAAGGGATACGTAGCTTTTTGTAATTCATGTAGTTTGTATGTTTTCTAATACCACGCAGACAAAGTCGCGGGCAACGGCTCGTTCATAATATTAGTAAGATTTAACTGATGAAATACATAAATTAAGATAAATGGTATACAAAGTATATTTTTGTGTATATATTTTTAATACGCTTTATTATATTTAAAAGTCATTTTTTATAAAGTCAACGTTCAATTTAATATTTTTAACACGACGGAATAAAACGTAACATCCTGTAGAAAGGCTCCATTGATGAAGCTTGCACAATCACGACAACCGTAGTAATCGTAACGCACAAAGACGCCAAAAAACTACACCAAATACACGAAAATATAACTTATAAAGTTGTCACGCTACTCGACAATTCTAACTAAAATTCGCTTAAGAATTCCTTAACGTATTATTGTAAAGATTTATATGATTTTGATATAAAGATATTAAGATACCTTGATTTTAAAGATGTATTCGTTACAGTGTGAATCTTTTGGGCTCTCTTTATAGTTTAAAAACAAATAAATTTAGTTAGAGCTTATTATTACTATGTTTTAATTTTTTTCACATATTTACTTTATAAAATAAAAAATACAAAAAATTGTTTATTGATTTAAAACAGTTTAGTACAGTTAGTGGGACTCTGTCTCCTGAGCTAGTAATAACTGTGTGTTCAGGAGGCAGCGTCATCTTTTAACGATTGTCTTGCGGAATTTAAAATACATGGTTACAAAATAAGATGAGAGTTATACATGAAAAGATTTTGTAATGAGCTACTTGGTGTATTATTTAACAGTGGTAGTGCCCGCTTTAACATCTTAGCACGAATGGGCCGGCACGCCCGGTGTAATACCACGACCACACAGAAGACAGGCGTGAAATGGAAGCAATTCCGTGTTTCGTCTGATGAGTGTGGTGCCGGAGGCCTAATTTAAGTCCCTTTCTCTTTACCACCCTTTTCTTATAAGGAGAGGTTGGGAAGGGGAAGTGGATTCGACGGTGGAGGAGATGCATAGAAAGGGGAAATATGCTCTTTATGCGCGTCTCCTCCTCCGTCGTATAAGGGTAGGCAACGCATCTGCAATTGCGGATGTCTATGGGCAGCGGTCGCTTCGCCGTTTAGGTGGCGCGCCGCTTGCTCGTTTGCCACCTTATGCTATAAAAAAAAAAAATATGTGTTTGTATTTACATAATGTGCATGGATGCTTGTGTGTGTGTTTGTGTGTAGACGTGTGCATGCGTATGTGGATGTATAAATGTATGTAAGCGTTTGTTTTCGTAAAGATGTGTACGTATATTTATGTCATGTTTTTACTACTTTATATTTAACTGACATGCTAAACTTATTTATTTAATAAGAATCTAAGATAAAATTTAAAAACACCTCAATTGACTAGTTACAATGGTTTCGTTTTTCCAAAATGTCCGTGAATAAAAAATTTTAATTTTTGATTCGAATTTCAAAAAAATCATCTATCAAAATTCATATTCGAAATTCAAAAGTGTAACGGAATATCGATCATCTGCGCCCGCGACTTTAAGGCGCGATCTCAGAAAGCCTACAAATAAAACGATATTACGAAAGGAGATTCGATAACTGACAGGAAGTTGACGAATCGATTTTAGAATAAAAGGTTTGTGCAAAAAATTGAAGAGATGACCGTTAAAATTATGTTTCATTATTTTTTTCTACATACTGATGATAAAGACGATTAAACAAAATGCATTTTAAAGGTTTTTCTGAGTAACCAGTTAACTGCATGCTTAATTTCTTTTTTTAAATAATTCAAATTGCACGCAAAAACATTGATATCCTTTCTTTTTATTACAGCACAGTTTTTAGAATGACCTCAGGAAAATCTTTGTATTTATAGTGTAAACAGCTTGTTCATCTAAAAACCGCAGATTTGTTGAATAAACAAAAAAAAATGCATGGCCAGTATTACGCAATCAAGATGGCGGATGATCCATCACGCGGGACACGGAATTTGACAGATCGCCTCGATTCCGTATTCCGTTTGGAAACCAACTAAAAATGTACCAAATACAACGCAATCAAGCCTATTGTGTGAGATTTAATTCGATTTGTTTGCTAGTGATACATTTTGATATGACATTTTTATTTAAAAAAATATCTTTCCTTTAGCTGTTTTTATTTTGAATCTTTGTGCTTGGTTGTACAGATTAGGCATTTTTTTAGTTTTTACTCTTATTTCTTATGCCCTTTTTTAACCGGCCAGTATTTTCAGATATTTGTATCTTTGTTTCAGGGTCTACCATCAAAACAGAAATTATGAACTTCCATGATTTAAACGTGAAACTATGGTGAAAACAAATTCTTACTAGGAGCACCATAATTACTGCTTAAGGGACCCCTAAATTTAAGAGATAATTAGTGAAAACGTTCATCAGATTATCGATTGCCATTGAAGTCTTTTTGACCGTGAATAAAGCAGTAAAATGCATAGAAAATTAACAGAATTTCCTGATAAACGCATTAATTTTGTAAAATAACAGAAACTAAGGATTACTTTTAGCTGCTACGCAATCGTAAACCTTTCCTAAAATTTTTAAAAACTCAAAATTGCTAAGTCTCCCATAAATCGTTTACAATACATCTAACATGCTATGTACGCGTTTTATGTCGCTTGGGAACCGCAACAAATGCTGAAACCATTAAAACAAACAAGTTCGCAGCTGGAGGGCAGCGACTACTCGCGCGAATCGCTCGGCCCCCAGCACCGCCTCCCAAAGATGCACAAAAATCAACATAAATAACAATACACACCCCTATCTCAAGCACAATGACAACCAGCTCAAAGAAAACGAAACATAAAAACCAATCAACACAAGCAAATTTAAACTGCAACACACTTAAGTCAAGGTTGAAAATCATTCAGCAAATGATTATAACATATCCGAAAATGTTAGTTCGATAGAAGCGTGCAACAATTGAGAAATATTTCGTCTCTTTCATCCATTCAATGGCTGATCCTGTCCCTCTTTTGGATGCTTTTATTAAATTTATTGTTAAAGAAATGTATATAAAAGTTGTTGACACGAAGAAGGGTCCCAGTCAGTGAGTTTAGTCCGTACGATACGAATCGATATGTTGTCCGTCGAGAAAAACTATTCTAGGCTGTTCAGACCTTGGGATGTGAAAGAAAGCGAAACAAATGAAGTGAAAATAGACGTGACTAGTGACACAATAGATGAAGTTAAAACAAAGAAACGAAAACTAGACGAGAAAAGAGAAAATCGTTTAAGAAAAATCAGAGGTACCTTTAAGAAAAATGATAATTTACAACAAGATGCGACTGTTTCAACAACAACTATCGAAGATGAACCAAAAATTAAATCGGAGTACATCGATCGAGACACTGTCAGTTCAGTTACAAAACTAAGTATGGTTTGTGATCGATTACTTGAACATGAGAAAGAACAACGAAATAAGAAAGATGTACAAACACCATCTGTACCACTAACACATCCAAACGTACCACAAAACATACAAGTATACAATCAAATGCCAGAATACATAGCAACAGATATCGCGCAAGCTTTAGGAGTACCACCAACCGACCCTTTACTCCTAGAATCTTTAGCACAAGGATATGCAATGGAACTTGAATACGCAAGAATAATCCAACAAGAAAACGAAGCTAAACTCCTTAACGCAAGAAAGCAGCGACCAAAGAAATACAGATGTCCACATTGTCAGGTTGGATTCTCAAACAACGGTCAACTGAAAGGTCATATACGTATCCATACGGGTGAAAGACCATACAAATGTGATGAAAAGAATTGCGGGAAGACTTTCACTAGGAATGAAGAATTAACGAGACATAAACGGATACATTCTGGAGTACGTCCGTATCCTTGTCCCACTTGCGGGAAGAAATTTGGAAGAAGAGATCATCTGAAAAAACATACCCGAACACATTATTTACAAGCTGAAAGGATGATGCCTGTTTTTGTACCACTTTCCGCGATCCCTCATATGACTGGATATCCTTATCTTTACGGATATTGATACACTGGTTTATATCTCGTTGTTTTGCCGGTTTCCCAGCGATTAACTATTCCTTAGTGTTTTTGGTTCGATAACATCATAAAATGCGTTTTTAAATGCGTAACTTCAGTTTTACTACGTTGAAACGTAGATCAATGAATCATTAGGTAGTGAAAAAATAAATGGAACTTCTGAAACCGAGCATAAAAATGATAAAACTCTTTAAAATTTTCACTTAACATTATGGATCGTATCAAATGTTAGTTTATTGGTTTTAAAAATGTAATATTTGACGTGTGTACAAATGTGGGTTTAAAAATTACGATCATTGTACTGAAAAGTGACGTGACTTTTTTGTATATAGATTTTTTAATAACAAAAATTTGTGTTCAATTCAATGATTTTATGAAAATAAACAATTTGATATTGTAAAGAGCGAAATGTGTTAACTATTTTAGATAAAATATATCTTTGAGAATGATATAAAGTATTTAAGTGTATGGAATGTGTGCAAAGAACTTCTATAATTTTATAGTAATAAAATATATTTGTAACAAAATCAATTTCCTTTTATTTACTACCCTTTATCTTATTTCTTCCTAATATTATAAATGGAAGATTTTGAATGGATGGATGGTTTATTATCACGTTTTTTTTTATTTCTTACTATTATCACTTCCTCAAAGGCCGGCAACGCATCTGTAGTTCCTCTAGTGCTGCGGATATCGATGGTCGTCGTTGACCACCTCGGTGATCTCGCCACTCGTTTGACCCGTTTTATTTTAAAAAAAAACGTTACTCCAGAATTTGGGATAGAGATATAGAACATAGTCTGGAAGAAAACATAGTCAACTAAATATTTTTTTAATTCCGCGCGGAGAAGCCGGCAGGGACTAGTCTACTATATTAAGTTCCAGTTAACTGAAACAGAATATTTCAACTTTTATTAATAAACTCGCCCGTGACTCCGTTCGCGTAGAATTAAAAAAACAAAAGTGAATAGCCTATGTGTTTTGCAGACTATCCTCTACATCTATTCCAAATTTCATCAAGATCCGTTCAGACGTTTAGGCTGCAAACTCTAACAAACATCCATCCATCTAAGTCTTCGCATTTATAATATTAGTAAGAAGTAAGATTACGCAGTCCATGTTCTTAATTAAAATAAGTAGATGTACAATTGTGAAAAAATAAAAAGACTACAGAAAGCAACAATTCTATTTTGTTATAAGACCGGCCCACCTTAGACTAAACTATCGCACATCAGTTCTGCGATTGTCGTGTTTCGCCGCTAATTACACTGTTTAGCACAACTAAATATCAAGTAGTGCAACCTCCATATAATCTCATAGGAATCCAAGCGACTAAACAGTTGTGCGATCGTTTAATCAAAGGTGTGTACGTGCTCTAAATTGTTTCATAATGACCCAGTGACATAGATAAAGTTTTAAAGACGTCAAGCTGGGAGCAATGAAAACATCTTACAACAACGTCCTCTGGCGAAGATTGCCCCCTACTGTGATATGTTAACGGACTTCCGATATTTCTTACATATTTCGACACAAATAAGGACGTGGGAATACGTCTAATTTGGCCCCATTTTAGTAAAAACGATTTATTTATTGCATTGCGTATAAATAGGTCGGATACCTTCGTATTCATAAAAATACTGGTGATTAGAAAATTGACAATTACTCTCAATTCTGGAGAAATGTATGGCATTTTTTTTTAATTCTTTAAAAGTAAATTGTGTAAAAAAGATGTTGATTTATCAATTACTTTGTTTCCATGTATTCTTTTTATTTTTTTTATATTAGGAAATACCGTTTTGTTATTTCAAAATGTTTAAATATTCACAAAATAATGGATTCTTTAAATCTACATACAAACTAGCTTTCGCACGGGAATCAGTCCGCGTGGTATTAAAAAACAAAAGTAAGTAGCCCGTGTTCTTCCAGACTATTCTCTACATGTGTGCTAAATTTTATCCAGATCCGTTCAGACGTTTACGCTATAAAGCCCTAACAAACATCCATTCATATAAACCTTACGTATTTATAATATTTGTATCAAAATCAAACATATCGATACATCATCTATTTTTCTATTATATTAAAAAAAAAACGCAATGTTCAAACACAAATACATTCGAGTACGGACTTCCGTTCTTGTATAATTTGAACAATTTGTCGTAAAAATATTTTGACTCCGCCATTGTAAACTGAATAAAGCAAACGCACTTGTGATTTGAAAAGGAATTTTAGAATATTCAAACATTTTCTACCTTCCATTAATTAAATAGTACTGACAGGACTATAGTAAAATATTTATTAATACATCACACGTGTCCCTGTTTAATAATTCACATCTATACTATATCTATATCTTTTCTTTTTTAGTGGTAGTGCCCGCTTTAACATCTTAGCACTGCAGGGCCGGCACGCCCCCAGTAATACCACGACCACACAGAAGACAGGCGTGAAATGGAAGCCATTCTTTGTTTCGTCTGATGAGTGTGGTGCCTAATTTTAGTCCCTTTTTACCACCCTTTTCTTATAAGGAGAGGATGGGAAGAAGTGCATTTGACGGTGGAGGAGATGCATAGGAAGGGGAAATATCCTCTTTATGTGCGCCTCCTCCTCCGTCTTCTAAGGGTAGGCAACGCATCTGCAATTGCGGATGTCTATGGGCAGCGGTCGCTTCGCCATTTTGGCGGATTCAGGTGGCCGCGTGCTCGTTTGCCACCTTTTGATATAAAAAAAAAATTATATCTATATATCTATATAATAATAAAGCGTAAACAAACACTTCTTTGTTGCCTAAGATGTCAGCAATTACAACATATTTTTGAATAATTCATTTTTTAATAAAAAGCCCTACACTTACGTCACGTTAGGCTATATATTTTAACCCCATTAAACTTAGAGGGCAAATATTTTGGATATGGGAAAGAGACCATAAGTTGCTGCCAACATCAAGGAAGCAAGATTGCTAAGGTTTGTCATGTCATGTCATTTTGACATTTGCTATTGTTAATTTGACAATTGTAAACAATAAAATAAAGTTTTCATAATTTCATGCGGATGAAGCCGCACGGGAACAGCCAGTTATAACATAAAAAACTAAGATAATAACTACCATTCCACTTAGTTCCTATTCTAACCTAATTCAATATCATTAATTCAACGCTAGATTTTTCCCGTGACGATAATTCAAATAAAAAAAAATTTGCATGTATCTTATGCGCTTTTCTTTTTAGAACACTTATATCTGTACATTTCATCTGCATTTAATTACATTATTTAACGTTAAATATGCTTTTCAACATCAACTATTCTATCGGAATCCTTTACTTATCGAATTAAAAAAAACTGTCAATGCCAAAAAAATGTTCCCGCGAAAAAAATGATTAGCTTAGAGGTGTGACCCGAATATTATCCAAAAAACCAACACGAGGATTTTCTTTAAAAACGCTGGGAATCAGACATAATTTTATTTATTCCATAACCCGCCTACAAGCCGAACAAATTGAATGGATAGATTTATAGCGCGTATCCGAATTAACAACAGATTAAAAAAATAAACGTTTGACGTTTGGCGCAGGTGGCGCGGGAGTAGATAAAAAAATTCAAAACGTCAGATATTAATGACTGGACTAATGTAAACATGCTTTGTTTGATTACAAAAGTTACGTTTTGTCAATCCCGAAAAGGGCAGACTCCACTAAAGTTAAAAAATAAATTTTTAGTATGAAACCATAATCTTACTATTGTAAATTCGAAAGTTTAGATGGATGGATGTCTGCTAGAGTTTGTAGCCTATACTACTAAATGGATCTAGATGAAATTTGGCATAGTTTTAGGGGATAGACAGAAAGAACATAACTTCCTTTTTTCCCCGCGAACGATCTCCTGGGCAAAAGATAGGTATTGTAAAGTCTATAATGATTCATCTCAAGAGTCTATTCTTATTTTCCAGCTGTTAATTTTATTTGATTTGTAATAAAATTAGCTGTTACTTCTATGAAAGCATAGCATCAGTGTATCTACGGTCATTAATAGCCGGTTTCCCAGCTACATTTAACCTTTCAATAATGTTTTTGGGCCGATAACTTCATGAAGTTAGGGACTGCGTAACTTAAGCTTTATTCTTTTGAAATTTAAGTCATCTTATCGCTAAAGATTAACTAGGTAATGATGAAATAAATGAAAACTTTATACCCAGCGTTAGTAGGTTTTAGTTATTTTTATATTTTACTATAAGTAGCCATATTAAGGTTTTTGTCCGACTTCCCAAAAGAAGGAGGTACTCAATTCGTCTATATGTCTTTTTTTCTTTTTTTTTTTATGTGTGTTTCGGCATAACTCCGCCGCTAGTGGACCGATTTTGATAATTCTTTTTTTATCCGAAAGGTAATGCTTGCAGGTGGGTCCCATTTTTTTGTTTGATTTTTGGAGTCTAAGACTACGACGTAGTTAATGTAATTAGCCAGTTGGTGACATTTTAGGGTCATAAATTAGTCGTAATAAGTCACAGTAGTTCGCATTGTGTCGGTCATGGGAACTTTATTCAGGTGGATCACTCCCGCATTTAGTATTTTTTATAACAGCTACCTGGCGACTTTAGGCTACTTGCGTTTAACAATTTAAAGTAACCATCATTTGTTAATGTCTCAGTACTTTTTTTAAGACGAGAAAAAGTATTGAGAAACTATTATTTTGATGTTTGGTGTCAAAAATGTTGTCTTTATGATTCCTTATTGAATTAATTTTATTATTTTAATGTCAGAGAAAGTATGTATTTTACGTAATCTATATTTTTTGCCTTTACATTTTTAACTATCTTTCGCCCACGATTCCGTCCGCGTGAAAATAAAATAAAAAATATTAAATGTAGCCTATGTTACTTATAGAAAAATTACCTTTCTAATGGTAAACGAATTTTTAAAATCGGCCAAGTAGTTTTTACGCCTATTCATTAAAATCAAACATTTAAATTTTTCCTCTTTATAATATTAGTAAAGATGTGTTAATTCTGGGAATTAGAAAAATTTAAAATATCCAATAAAATCTATCACCGTTTATAGTAAAAGATATCCACCCTACTTTTAAGGTACAAAGTTAGGTTAACAATGCAAATAGAGTTATTTACCGTGGTCATTACGTTATAATGGTCATTCATGACTTCAAATGTGCAAAAAAAAATACAAATGCATTCTCACGAAACGCACCTACTCCAAGTAACTTTTGTGCAATTCGTTTCGTGCAGGTCCAAATTACGCGCGCTTTTTGACGTTTGACATTGACAGTTTAACTTTTTTATTGTCAATAGTACGTTATGATCGATTCGGTCCGATTTTTGTGTTTGTTTAGTCGACCTTTTTGCCATTTGACATGAAATATGCACCTTGTGCGAACTCCCACGCAATACGGATATAAGACAAGACATTACAAGACATTTTTATATTATCTAGCATTTTTAATTGTTTGTAGCAAAAGAACTAACTATATTGTGACTTATATTTAGCTCCGCATAATTCAAATAATAGATTCAACCATCGCCTTTAACATTAAAGTCGTGAATTATTTCTTAATGCATATGTTATTCACACAGCCCTAAAAGCAGAAGAACGCGGATTCACAAAATGGCGACCACCCATTGCGCGCGATTTGTCACCAATCTATGCGCTAATGATCCCGCTTTACGATGACAAACAAAATAAATACGCGGATGTGAGAATTGTGGCTTGGGAGTATGGGTTTTTAGTAGTGTAAAGAAAAAAATACTGTCAATTAATTACTTCTTCCGTCCTTAACTTAATGGTACGAAATAATGTAAAAAGCAACAATAACAATGGCTTTGGGTACGGACTGCTCAGAACACAGAATTGCGTCTGATATATTTCCTTAAGATTTAATTTAGATAAAATAGAAACAAGTGTGTTTGAACTTGTGAAATATAAATAAATGAAATTACAATTTGCTAAGCTTGCTGGCTTTCGTCCGCGGCTCTGGCAGCGTGGAATAAAAAAAAACAAAAGCAAACCTATGTGTTCTTCCAGACTCCTCTACACCTGTAAAAATTTTCATCGAAATTCGTCGAATAAAGATAGCCAACGCAACTGCAAATGTGTATGGGCAGCGGTTACTTCGATCTTTGCGAATGTAGGTCTGTCCTTGCCTGTTTTCCATTAACTAGAATTACAATACAACGAGGTTATCTAGTATGCCATAAAAACCTTAATTGGTTCTCGACACTTCACCGTCAATGCCACCACAATATAAATTCAGCAATCGCAACCCCAGACATGTCAGCACAATAAATCAAATAGACAATCGCACCACATACGCGAACAAAACGTATTGTATTGACATCCCTCAACATATCCGCGTATTGCATAATGCTTTAACAACTTTGGAGACCACACAAAATACATTTAAATGTATAAATTAAGATGTAATAATTAGATTTTCACACTTTTATCTATACTAATATAATAAAGCGTAAATACACGCTTCTTTGTTGCCTAAAATGTCAGCAATCACAGCACATTTTCGAATAACTCTACTTTTAATAAAAAGCCCTACACTTACGGCGCGCTTTAGACTATATATTTTAAGGGTAAACATTTTGGATACAAAACACTAATGTGGGAAAAAGACCATAAGTTGCTACTAACATCAAGGAAGCAGGGTTGCCATGGTTTGACATCATGTCATGTCATTTTGGCATTTGCAATTGATGATTTGACAAATGTGAATAATAAAATGATTTTTTTATAATTTCATGCGGATGAAGTCGCATGGGAACAGCTAGTTAGTTACTAACTGTTGCTCAACATCGTCCGTGTGATATTAAAGAAATATTAAAAAAGTAGCGTATGTTACTCACAGATAAATTACCTTTCTAACGGTGAAAGAATTTTTGATATCGGTCCAGTAGTTTTTGAGTTATTTTAATAGATGCAAAAATACAAATCTTTCCTCTTTATAGTATTAGTATAGATTGAACATTGTAACTTCTTAGATGTAATTATATTTTGCATATTGTTTTTCTTTCTATGAACGTTGTGATTGTCTATAAATGAAATATGTTTGTTTAGATTTTAAACTAAAATTCAACCACTGTATGTAACTATATTAACATGTTTTGTTGCCAATCGTATACCTATACTAATATAAATATTTGTATTTTTATATGTATTGAAATATACTGGGACGATTCCAAAAATTCTTTCACCATTACAAAGCTACGTTATCAGTGAGTAACATAGGCTATATTTTTTAATTTCACGTCGACGAAAATACGAGCAACAGTTTTGTTTGAAAGAAATGTTACGAAGAAAACAGGTTTTCTGAGAATGAGTAAAGCAATATTATCAAGAAACTTTTAATTTAACAAAGTCGTTACAATTCATCTTTAACGACAGCGTATTTCAATTCTTGCACATACTTCTCTAAAACTGCGTAAACATCAGTTTTATTCATCCCATACTTCTCAAATGCTCTATCATTCGATTTGTCGTTAACAAATTGGTACAATTCATTGAAAACTTCGATCGGTTTAGATTTCCCTTTATAATTATTAATGCAAAATGGTTTTATCTTCTTAACAAGTTCAAACATCGAAGATATTATTTGTCCAGTTCTTGGTATGAAAGGTAAAGAACTTTCAAAAATATTAAGCAATCCGTCACACACGTGTGAAGTCGCCATTCTTTCTATTAACCCAATCCTCTGGTATGTCACTAAATCTTCCGCATTCTCTCTAGTTCTTGGAGTTTCTCTAGCTTTTATATGTTCGTCGAGTATTTTATTAAATAAATCTAACAAAGTATGAATGACTGTTATATCTAAATTTGTTATTTGATGGTAAAAAGGATCTAAGCCTTTAAGTTTCATGACTCGTGCTTGCATTTTAGGATTACCAGGTAACCATGAATGCATGATGTCTAACGCGTAAGCTTTTATGGATAGAGTATGATCATTTTCAAATATATCTAGAAGATTATCTAGAATACTAACTGGGATTACCGCTTTCGCTGTAGTTGGAGCGATGTCAAGCAGTTGTTTTGTTAATATTAAAAACTGTCGACGCAATGGTGTGTGTGATATTTTCAAATACGGTGCAACTACTCGATCCAAACCTTTTGCACGTAGAAATTTGTATACATTGTTAGAGTTTATGTTGAGGTCAATGAAAACTTGTACAATCTCGGACATTTCGTCGTAGATATCGATTTTGTTTTCGAGAGCTGTTATGTCTTCGTCTTCAGGCTTAGTTAACTGGCGAGCGGTTTCTTCGAACATTTCGATATACTTCTCGATGTCATCTTGTGGGAATTCCTCGATCGTCTTTTCATTTGGCGCGTCATTAACATCTTCGCCTAGAATAAACAAATAAATCAAGTATAGAGCGGACATTTAGTGTGTTGTTGTCCTGTCTAGTCATACATATAAAAATAACATTTTTAAAGGCTTTGGTCTTATAAATTTTAAGGTTGATCAAGGTTACGGGAGTGCACTGAACAAAGGAGCCCTCTAACAGTAAACTCCTGCAACTGGAGAACCTTTATTTTGAAGATTTTTAGAATTTTCTTTTTCTTAATTCCGAGATATAGTACCTTCAGCACTGTCAGCCGCAGAACAGCCTTTTAGAAATAAAGCAATCACTGTAATAATTAAAAAGTTGTTCATCTTGTATTTATCTTAGAATTTTTCTTCTAATCAACTTCTGACAGATAAAAAATATGAAAAAAGTAAGCTGTTATCAGCCAGTATGAAATCAAGATAAAAAACCATTTTTTTACTTGCATTTTTATACTGATTAGGAGACGAACTAAGAATTAGTGAGATAGTTAACGTTAAATAACAATTCTTCATTGAATTTTATATTTTAATTTGCGTAACAAGTAAACTTGTACACTCCGATAGAGGTAGGTCTAGAAAGAGATGGATGGATTGCATGAAAGACGACATGATCCAGAAGAGAGTGATGACTGAGATGACGGATGATAGATAATGAACCAGTGAAATTAATATTTGGAATTATTTTTTAATATTCAGTAGGGAATAATAAATATTTATAGAGTTTGCAAATGTTTGGTAACTTTAGGTATAATTAAAAATGTGCAATGAATAAAACAAATACTCTTTGACGGAATAGACAATATAATTTCTGACAAAAAGACAATCATGTCACGTACAAATAAATGATAAATTGTTGTAGTTAATGAATTTAAACAGCCTAATGGAAACCCTTAAAAACTATCTACATGGCCATTTGAATAGGACTCTGTCGCCGAGAGCCACAGTCGCTATTATATCTATCATAAGCTTGGTTTGTAAATATTATAAGATAATAAATCTTGGGGAACAAATATATTAAGCTTACGGTATTCAAATTGATCATAGTTCGTGTTCCAATTGAATAGGGGAAAGACTATTTTCGTAAGTGTTAGAGGAACTTTTTGGAGTCCTCAACAACACCTGTTGGAGGAATGATACCACTGAAATAGTACAACCACACAGAAGACAGGCGTAAAGTGGAATTAGTTCCCCGTTTCGTCTGCAGAGTGTACATCTTGTACCTAATTTAATTCGTATTTTCCTTCCACTCTTTTCTTGTAGGTAAAGGGATGGCAATGGAATTTTGTGAAGGATTTTAGAATGGGCAATTCTCTTACTGTGTTCCTTTTTAGTACTTCTTACATTTCGTCAGGTGGCAAGTTTCGCGGACTTCGTGACGAGCCAAATGGTCCCGGAGGATGCGTGCCAATCGTGTAGAAGCAATAACATACTGCGGCTTCGCGCCAACATCTACTGCCTTAGGAGTCTGTTGCTTAAGCTGTTCCAAGTTGCCAACTTGATTCTATTGCTTGGTTGTATTATTGTAAGATTTTTTAACTACTATTTCCCTCTGCTGCGTATATTTCAAATGTAATGACTGAATAAGACTACTAGCGCCATCTATCGAATTAATTGCTAACAATATTACAGATCGTCCCTAGTCCTATTCATGTCTTTATAATAGCTGTACGCAGATATTACATATTATAGACAGTGGCGACACCACTTCTATAAAGGATGAATTGGTAAATTGAGATCGCGCGCACACCTTTGACTAAAGTATCGCACAACTGTTTAGTGGCGTCTTGATTGTTATGAAATTATATGGAGGTGCGCACACTACTGGACTTTTAGTTATATTGGCGTTTACTTTTTTGTTTGTTTTATTATTTTTTGTAAATTAGTTGTAAGTTATACATAAATAAAAAGTAAAAAATAGTTTAATCAAAGGTGTGCCAACTCTTAGTTAGCATTTTAAAAAAATTATATTTGTACAGGAGAATTCAATAATGATGCAGTTGTATATTTGGTATACGCTGTCATTCGTCGTGTTCGGCTTCGTGGTGACGCTCGTTGAGTTCCTCAGCCGCATCAAGCGCGAACAGGTCTGGACTTTCATGGCCCTATTTGCGGATGTGTTGTATTTATTTGGTAAGTAAACCAGTCTTTCTGCACAGATTTAGTTCCTATCCAGAGTTTTAATTAATATTTTTACCAAAAACTGCACATTTTGAGCTAAAATTTTAGATAAACACTATGCTATTAGATAAATTTTAAGACAAGAGACATAGCCTATAGGCCGCCATCTCGACCTCCTTATTGGAGGTTTCCGTTGGGCCGATCAGCCCTATAAGAATCTCTTTTCCCATTGGGATTGTAGATTCAATCCCGTAGGGCCGATCGGTCCAACGGGAAACACCCTTCCTGTTTACTTAATTCAGTCATTGGATCGAAATGTAAAATATCTTTTTATTCATTTGAATCTTTGTTTTCTTGTAACTGTTTTGTTACAGTAATTTTCTGGTGTCTGCCGATAATAGATACTTACAGGAAATCGTTGAAAGGTGATCCATTGGTGAGAAATTCTGCTGAAGATGTCGTATGAAATTGTTTTTATTAAAATGTTGTATTTTAATATTGTTTTAATATTTTGTTATGGAATAGGTGATCTAAAAAAGTGAGATAAAAATATGAAACGAAAATAGAAAAATAACTAAAAACAGAAAATTATTAGTTTTTTGTTTTTTTTCGACATCCTTTTAGACCAAACCTTTTTGAAGGTTAGAAAAATCAAAATTGAAAAATCCGTAATGTAGACTTCTCTTCAGAATCCTTCATTTTCTTTCGCACAACTAAAAGGGACTTTAATAAAACTACAAAAGAAATATTTTACAATTACATTTATTATTTTATTATTAAGTGCAGCACATTTACTCGATCGGGGACAAGATTGTATTTGATATATTTTGAAAACTTCATCTCTTGCAAGGAATATTGAGATCCATTATATCACAAGGCGAAATGAAAGATTTGGTCGATTTCAGTGCTTGCTTTATTTTACTAGATTTAGGGCCTGTCCCAACACTGGCTGATAGAGGCTCAGATAGCTTGAAATGACGTCACTATCAGATAAGGTAACAAAATCCGACATTTCCATCACATATTTTACGTTGGATTGTTAATTTACAATTTGGTGGGACAGGCTCTTATACTTGCGGTAAAAAAAACCTCATTGAAATATGTCAGTCTATGATTTCAGAATTGATGTTTTAATTATAAACGGTCTTGGGACTTTGCTTCTTTTTCATTCGTACCAGTTATAGATATTTTTTCTATACTATTTAGTTCTTTATAAATTCATACTTTCGCACAGCGACTCAACTTAAAAGGACTGAGTATTCAATAATACTTGGACCCTTATACCACTATCTTGTTTGAAGCTTTAATGTAATAATCAGATTTTTTGCGTTTTCGATAAATCGATTCACATCACTAGTTGCAATGACAGCTGTCAAAAATGGCGCGTTTTTTAAATGAAAATTGCGAAGGTTTAGAGATGGCAGTGATATAGTATGGAAGGAGAAAAATGCGTAGAAATTAAGAATTCTATTTTTCAAGTATATCATGAACAGAGAGCTGATAGCTGTAAAGTCAAATTGGAGCATTTTCAGTTTATATTTTTAAATAAAAATCTTTGGTACAAGCAAACCAAACCATCAAAATCATAAGTTAAAACAGTATTTGTGAATGCATTGTCTTTACATTCGTCGCATTTAACCGCAAATTCATATTTATTTGGACCTTTATATAATTTAGGATACACTTGGTTAAAATGTACTGAAATTTTATTTTATTAAAAATCTTTTCTGACCTCATACATTAGTCCGGTAACCTACATTAAGGATTAGTGTAGATGTCAGTAATCTCAGAGTGCAGTATTTTGGTCGTAATAAATGCTTGTCCCCTTTCCACTCAATCACACATTATTTTAAATTTCTTGCGACACCCGTCTTAATATAACGATTACCTTCGTACTTACTGTATCGGTCATACAAAAATATCGCTAATGTAATCGTGCAGGGTAGGGGAACGGGAAGGGTAATGGAAGGGTGGCGGGTGCCGCGATTCACCTTAAAACTACGTGTTCATTAAAAAAACACTGAAGTGAACACCGTCTGATATTTACAATTTGCCGTAAAACTTCGAAATAAACGTAAATACAAAATATTACCAAATTGCAAACCGATCGGCCGGGTCTATGTACAATTTAGTCGATCGGCCGAAAAAAATGTTTTGCCAATCGGTAGCAAAACTGGTCGCTTATGACTAACTTATTTTTTTTTTAGTTTTTCCATATTTTTTTTTCATCCTCGCATTACAGAAACCTATTATTAGTTAATCGATAATTTTAATGAACATTTATTACTTTTTAGCCAATAATTCGCTTCTAAAAACGGATATTATTACATTTGGCAACACATGCCAAGTAAAAACCGCTAAAATACTAATTTAATAAAGTTTTTGTAACACTAGCTAATTAGGAAAACTAACATCGAGTACTTAGAAGAAAAAAAAAACCTAAGTTAATTCAGGTTACTACATTAACTAAGAACCAATTTGTCCGTCGCATTTAGACAACTGTTCTTATACATTTTTTTTATATTTATATAAAATATAGCAGTCCATCGACGCACACTTTAAAATTATAATAAAAAAAACATTTCTGTGTAGGAAATACACTGAATTAGTTGCAATTTTTTTTTAATTATAAAAATTATTTAATATAATTTTTAGATCGTTAACTTAAAAGGCCTCTGTTAGAAATAAGGTTTATATTTCATAATAGCGTTCGACGCCTGCATCAGCATCACTGCACTGAATCAAATTGAGCCAAAAACAACCAAAAACACATCCCTTTACGAGTATATAAATTGTATTTCAATTATTTTGTATATATCGTTACCAAAATCACAATAACTTCCTAAAACTGACTAACCGTTTAGAAAACCTTTGTTAGAAATATATGGTCAACCAATTTACTAGCGATCCATACAAAACATCCATACAATAGTCGAAAACCTGCAATATTGCCGTAATAGCATAGTAAGAGAAGCAAATGCTACGGTACCCATTGATTCGGGGCCCGTGGTCCAACGTAACAAAAAAAAACTTACTAGCTTTCGCCCGCGACTCTGTGCGCGTGGAATTAAATAAAACAAAAATGATTAGCCTGTGTGTTTTTCCAGACTTCCATCGAAATCTGTTCAGCAGTTTAGGCTACAAACTCTAACGATCCATCCAAACTTTCGCATTTTTATTAGTATGAAAAATCTTGAATGCTTACAGGAGCTCAGGCTATGGACTTTTACTTGAAAATGCAAAACTCGATTTCGTCACTTTAAGGCGTAAAAATTAGGTATTTTACGATTTTAACGTTAATATTTGGTTGTAATTATGCAAGTAAAAGTAATTATTTCGTTTTATTTAATACCCTAAACTTGAGAACGTAAAGCAAACCAAGGGCACCTTGACTATAGGCATAACTGTCTACTTTAGAAGTCACAATTCTCATGTTCCCGTGAAATTAAAACTTCAAGATTATAAAATTTCCTCGATTTGAGTTTAATAAAACCGAAACTTTCATGCACTCGAGTCCTAAGTCAACCTTTCTGGAATTTAGACTGAAAATCCGTATTTCTAGAGTTTCTGGGTTAGTGTTTATTGGTTTATTTTAGGCTTAATCTGGTTCAAGTGATTAGTGTGCAGCAAGCGCGGCCGGCGACACACAAACACACACGTGGGGCGCTTTCGGATGCTATCGCGTTCTCTTTCTCGCCGGACCGCTCGTAGCCGCCGAACGCCTCACTCGTTTTCACTGGAAAAAAAAGTTACAATCATTATTTCTATAACTTATGTGGTATTTGTGTTTAGTAACACTAACGGCAGTATAATGAAACGAATTATGCTATTTCATTTATATTTTCACGTCTGTCCGATTGTAAATGGCTAATTACGTAGTAATTACGAAGTTTTTCATATTCAGTATTCGGCCGTAAGTGTTGAAGACCAAGTAACTACTCTAAATACATTAGTTGGTGTTAATTATTTGAGTGGATTTCTCAAGATACTTAGGGGCTAAGTGACCACATAATGAATGTATGAAAACACGCTACAAAATATACTGAAATTAAAACGCACATATAATGAGAAATATGGTTTAAGTAGAATTAATAAAATTACATGAAAATATCAAACCGAATAGGGGTGTCAAAAAAAATTTTTTTGCAATATTTCATAAAAATTACTACTAAATTTTAACTTATATTTTTATTTACATGATTTTACTGAAATAACTAGAAAACTTTATTTAATAAAATACACACAATTCCTTACATCTTGAAACTGTAAAATAGTTCATCGTTTTCTATAGAGTTTAAATAAAAAAAACCACCAAACTTTGAAAATAATTCATGTTTAATATTAATATACTATTCTTTTAAGCACTCAATGGATTGAGAATTATATAAAGTTTCTTTTGCTTTGACTTTTTACATTATCAATATAAAAAAAATAATAAAACACCACATCATATTGTTAGTCGACAAAATTGTTATCGTCTGTTCCATGCAAGCTGGACAAATCCTCTGCCCTACTTTACAATTTACCTACCAAATTCTTATATCAGATTCGATATAAAAACTACGAGTAGAAACTTTTAAAAGCCCTTATAAGAAAAGAAAAATTTCAACCCATATCAGCCACAAAACTTACAATACAAAACATACTAAATTAAGAGAAAAATTCAAATTTGCCTAACACTATCAATTTGAAATCTCACACATGTGATATCCGTCAAATTTTGACTTATAAATAATTGAGTAAGAGAACATGTTATTGTATGGTGTTAGTTAGGAGATGGCGGTTAGTTTCTTCTTCATTTGGCTGACGGACTGGTGTCCCTTCACTGTCTGTTTGTTAGCCGCAGAGTCCGCCGTCGCGTGCGCTGACTTCACCTACGAAGAAAGCTACACTTTGACGGACACCGACATACATCTACTACTCATACGTTAGCTGTTAGTACAAACTGGATAGGGAAAGTCGTGTGAGGTTAGGAGGGCAAAGTTTAATAGCGCATGAGGTGATTATGAAGCAAAATAGAGTTTCAATTCATGTGTGTGGCTGTCTGTTGAATTGAAGAACAAGGGTCAGTCTGTATAACTATAAGTTAGCGGAGACATTATATCCCGTGAGGTGTGAGGTCAGTATGAGGTGGTAGATACCTCGTTGTTGTGAGGCGACGTCCGTCTCCATAATCTGATTACGCTGCCGCTGGGTCCCCTCCAGTGCAATGTGTGAGGCGTGGTGTGTGAAGTGTGAGGTGAGGTGAGGTGAGTGTGGTGTGAGGTGTGTCACGTGAGGCAGTACCTCGGCGATGTCCGGCTTCATGGTTTGGTTGTCCTGCCGCAGGATCGCCTAGTGCAACGTGTGAGATGAGGTGCAGTATGAGGTGTAATGTGAGGTGTAGTGTGAGGTGTACTGTCAGTTGTACTGTGAGGTGCTGAGTGAGGCTGTATCTCGTTGTTGTGAAGCAACGCCCACCTCGATCGATTGTTTGCGTTGCCGCTGTGTCGTCGAGTGTAATGTGTGAGGTGTGGTGTGTGAGGTGCAGTGAGGCAATTCCTCGTTGTTGTGCGGCTGCTCCCACCACAATGTTCAGCTTCCGCTACCGTCGTGTCATCCAGTGTGAGGTGTGGTGTGTGGTGTGTGAGGTGCAGTACGGTGTAGTGTGAGGTGTGAGATGTGAGGTGTGAGGTGCGAGGCGCAGTGAGGCAGTACCTCGTTGTTGGGCGGCGGCTGCGGCGGCTGCTGCGCGCGGCGCTGCACGGAGGGCGAGCGGCGGTCGGCGGCGGCTGCGCCCGCCTCCATGGTCTGCTTGCGCTGCCGCAGGATCGTCCAGTCGAACGTGTAGTCGTACTGGTAGTTCATCGTGCGGAAAAGGATGCGGAACAGCTGACAAACAAACACAACAACCATATAGATTAAACGAATAGGGAAATACAAGACATAATCATCTCTAGATGCTTTATGGAGAGTAGTACTAACTGTATTCACACTCTTTTTACGCTATATATCCCGTTGTACGCAATGAATTAGTACGTTAAAGCAACAAATATATTATTTAGTAAATGTTACCTGTCTGAGATACATGTAGTCTGGCGCCTCGTCGAATGTAAGCCCGCGGCAGTAATTTAAATACATCGCAAACTCAGCCGGGAAGCCCTGTCGACAAAAAAAGCATAGTTCTATGACTGTTCATGATAACATCACGATAAAATTACAATTTTGTTTGTCTTCTTTTAGGGTTGTCGGTATATTATAATTACAATGAAAAGTTTTATGTGGTGACAGTTATATAAGAGACAATACTTACCTTGCATAGCACTTCGACGGGCGTCGACATCTTCTTCTCGCTAATTCTCTCGTATTTCTGCTTCTTTGTTATAGCTTTCAGTCCCTGCCATGGCAAAGAGCCCCTGAAACGTAACATTATTAATCCACATACCTAAAAATTTTAGTTTTTAACTTTAGTTTAAATAAATAAGTTCAAAATTTGGACACTGTCATCAAAAACACTTTATTGTGTAAAAGAGTACATTACTGTCTTAAAACGAGTTATTCAATTTTATGTAGTTCAAACACCCATCTAATAACTTTTATATTTGCAGAGATTTTTCCAAAGGGTTCTGAATTTCGGTCAAAAACCCATGTCCAAGGTCCGTAACATAGATATATTTTATTAATATTATGCAAATAGTCAAACAGTACATAAAAGGATTATATAAACAGATTATGCATAAATCTGTACACCGCCAATTTAGAAAGTGGGTCAGATATAGAATGGATAAGATAACAGATATGTTTTTGCGTCGTGTTGTTTTTATTATTACTTCTAACCGTTACTATTTCCCAACTAACCTTTTTTCATAGTACTAAATCTAAATTATTATAATGAAGCCAACACACACTTCTTTGTTGCCAAGATGTCAGCAATTACAGCATATTTTTGAATAATTCTTTTCTTAATAAAAAGCCCTACACTTACGTCACGCTTTAGGCTATATGTGTTCACGCTATTAAACTAAGGGGGTTAATAAATTGGATTAAAACACTGATGTAGGAAAGGGACCATAAGCTACAAGTTGCCAAAATCAAGGATATAAGATTGCAATGGTTCGTCGTCACCCCATGTCATTTATTTGCTATTGATATTTTTGACAAATGTAAACAATAAAATAAGTTTTTTTATAATTTTATGCGGATGAAGTCGCACGGGAACAGCTAGTAAGGAATATATAGTACTGTTAAGGTAAAAGAATATTTGATATCTGTCCAGTAGTTTTTGATTTTATACATTACAAATATAAAGTAAACCTTCTCTCTTTACAATTACACTGTCGATAGTTAAGTTGTTAAGTTATGTCCACTGTAAATTAACTTAAAACATAGTAACATAGTAAATCTATTTTGTTTTTACAAAAGAAGTCTCGGGCAACATCTAACGGTAACTTTGAACGTCAAACTCGAATCGACCTTCAAACCAACAATGATGTGAATTTGAACTTTAAACAACAGAACATAAAGGTCAATATTGCACAAACTATAAGTCTGTTAGAAATAATGTATTAAAACATCGTATTGTGCAAGTATGTCGGTCGGGTTTTCGGGTGTAGGTCAAAGAAATCCGTAAGTCGTTGAGTACGTCACACGTGTCGACACAAAACATCCGCGATGTGAGGTAGGACCAATACTAAGCGGTTACTACCGCACTCATAGATATAAACTAGCTGTTCCGAATAATAAAAACTTTATTTTATTGTTTACATTTGTCAAATTCTCAATTGCAAATGTCAAAATTTCCATTACCATAATAACCTTGCTTCCTTAATGTTGGCATCTTCTAGTTTATGGTCCCTTTCCCACATTAGGCTTTTTTTTTAATTTTTTACTAAAGAAAGAACTATAGAAAATTAGCTTTCGCTCGCGACTCCGTCAGCATGGTATTATAAAAAAAAACAAAACCAAGTAGCCTATGTGTTCTTCCACACTATCCTATACTTCTATGCCAAATTTCATTGAGATCCGTTCAGCAGTTTATGCTACAAACTCTAACAAACATCCATCCATCCATCTAAACTTTCACATATATAATATTAGTATGATAGTATGATTATGTTGGGATTGCTGACATACTGTACAAGTAGTGTGTGTTTACGCTTTATTACAGAAAATATAGAATAAGTGGTCTAAATTAATAAAGCATGAGTGTTTGAGTCACAATTTCCGTGAACGGTCATCGACGACGTGACGCCGCAACAGGTTTTGTTTAATAAAAAACGTCACTGCCTACAGTTTGCGATAAACATTTTTTCCCTTATCTAAAGGAACACAATTGATTGTTATATTTAAAATAACGAATACTATTATGTTTTTTCGTGTCCTTTTTTATGTAAATACTGGCTTTTACCCGAGACTTTGTCCGCACGAAAATAAAAAAAGCTCAGTAGCCTGTGATCTTCAAAATTATGTACAAATTTATTCGTGTCATTTCGCATTTATGAGAACGCGAAAGAAGTCGCGGGCAACAGCTAGTACTAAATATGATAGAAATAAAGAAATTTAAATGTAACAATTTTGATATCCTTACAATTAGTTTATACAATTTTCTTGACTACAAAGTCGATAACAAAGTAAGCAGTAATAAAACTTGTCCCAAGCGACCTGTTACAACACGTTGTGACTCGAGTATAACCGCACGACCAACGGTTTTATCAACGGCGTGTTTTGTTACTGGGAGTTTTCATTGGAGAAACATCCATACATAAACTATCGTTTCATTTCATTCCTTGGTAATTCTAAAGTTGCTACGATAATGCATACATTAGATACTGTATTATTAAATAACAGATGGATTATATCTATACCAATATTATAAAGATAAAATATGTATTTGTGTTATGTAACGGATATACAAAAACTTTTTTTTTATAATATATGGTGCAAACGAGCAAGCGTCCACCTGAATCTACCGAAATGGAGAATGACCGCTGCCCATAAACATCCGCAATTGCAGATGCGTTGCCTACCCTTCATTGACGGAGGAGGAGACGCACATAGAGAGGACTATTCCTCTTCCTATGCGACTCCTCCACCGTCAAATCCACTTTTCCTCCTCTTAAGAAAAAGATAAAAATGGGAAAGGGACTAAAATTGGGACTCCGGCACCACACTAATCAGACGAAACGCGGAATTGCTTCCATTTCACTTTTGTTTTCTGTGTGGTCTACTGGATTAATTGAAAAAAATTACCATTACAATATTGCATTATCGCTGAGGAACAGATTATTAAAAATTTTTTTTAATTTCCAGCAGACAAATCGCCGTCTACAGCTAATGTATAAACGAACTAGTTTTCGCCTGCGACTCTATTCGAGAGAAAGACAAAATCAAAATTAAGTAACCTGTGTTCTTCCAGACTACCCACGTATATGTAAAATTTCATCAAAATCCGTTCATCAGTTTATGCTACAAACTCTAACAAACATCCATCCTTCTAAACTTTCGCATTTATATTAGTAACTAGCTGTCCCCGTGCGATTTCCTTAGCATAAAATTATTTTACTGTTTACATGTGTAAAATTGTCAATTGCAAGTGTCAAAATGACATGACATAACAAAACTTGGCAACCTTGCTCCCTTGACGTTGGCAGCAACTTATGGTCTCTTTCCCACATTAGGGTTTTTATACAAAATATTTACCCCCTAAGTTTAATGGCCTGAAAATATATAGCCCCATAAAAGAATCATTTAAAAATATGCTATAAATGCTGACATCTTAGGCAACAAAGAAGTGTGTGTTTACGCTTTATTATAATAGTATAGTATATATGTATATATTTACCTGTTAAAGTACATAAGTACGTATCCGAGCGATTCCATGTCGTCCCGCCGCGACTGCTCGATGCCGAGGTGAGCGTTGATGGACGCGTAGCGCGCCGTGCCTACACATTCATACATATACACCCTGCTCACCCCCTAACAGTGATAGCGTTAAGTTTAATAGACCATAACATTGCTTAATAAATAGGCAATCTGATGTGAAAATATTCTACTATTCCGATTTATATTTCCTGAGTTATAAGCGAACAAACAAAAACAACTTTTTAATACAGATGTACAAAAATTAAGATCATTTTACTGGAATAGGAAGTAACTTTAGTAATTACTCTTTCTGGATAAATGACAGTATATAACGTAAAAAAATTGGAATTTCAAGGAATTTCACTTAAAACTATTTTCGAATGTATGTTTTACTTAAAAAATTACATTATTGGATTGTACAATATGTAACTATGTTCAAAACAAATGAACAGACCTTTAATTTTAGAACATATTTATTAAATAAAGATAGGGATGGTAATATTTTTATCATCATCATCACTATACGTCCCCACCGAGGGACTCGGAGCCTACCCTAAGCTAGGGTGACCAGGTCCTAGTCAACAACGCTGCACTGCGGGTTAACTTCACACATATCTTTGAATTTCTTCAATATGTGCAGGCATCATGTTTTCCTTCACCGTAAGAACGTCGGGTAAAGTATGTACATATGAAAATTCGAAAAACAGTGGTACAGTGGGATTCGAACCCAAGACTTGTAGATTACAAGTCAACCCACAAACATAAATATAGTTTTTATTGAGTAACCAAGATTTTTTTAAATTATTTTACCCTTAACCTGCTATTCAAAACTTATACTGAAATATTTATTTCATAAATTAATAAAAAAATCATACATTTAAAAGTAAACCACTGAGCCACCGAACTATTAATATTTTTATATTTTTTTTACTTTATTTTTTATTTTACTTACCAGTCAAATTCTTATCCTCGCGGTAGGATATGTGGGCGCGGGTGCGGAGATCACGGAACTTCTTGGCGAGTCCGAAGTCAATCATATAGAGCTTGTTGCAGTGCCGGCCGATACCCATTAGGAAGTTGTCCGGCTTTATGTCGCGGTGGATGAAACACTTGCAGTGAATGAACTCAACGCGGCCCAGCATTTGATCTGAGACAACAGGAACCTTATAATCCCAACCTCTTAACTTTCTTTTTTATAAGAAACTAGCTGTTCCCGTGCGACTACATCCGCATGAAATTATGAAGGTTTTATTGCTTACATTTATCAAATATCAACAATCAAACCTTAGCAATTTTTCTTTTTTGATGTTGGCAACAACTTATGGTCTCTTTCCCACATAAGGGTTTTATCCAAAATATTTACCCCCTAAGTTTAATAGGTTCAAAATATACAGTATAAAGTGTGACACAAGTATAGGGCTTTTTATTAAAAATGTGTGTGTTTAGTCTTTATTATAATAGTATAAGAGAGAGAGAGAGAGAGAAACAGAGACAAACAATAAGGTTATCAGTGACACCCATGGACATCCGCAATACCTGAGAAACTACGGCTGTTGCTGCCTTTGAGGATTTTTTCTTTATACTAATTACTCTCTTTATAGCTTAAACACATATTTTGTTATGTTATGTTATGTAGGATTTCAAACACAGCATATTAACATTTTTTTTTTTATATACAAAACCCTACATTTTCAACACACTTTAGGCTATATGTTTTCAAGCTACTAAAATTAGAGGTTAAATAATTTGGACAAAAACTACAAGCCAATAAGCATCAAAAAACAAAGATTACCATGGTAATAGTAATTGTGATCCAATAGCAAAGACCTTCTTTGTCATTTGTTCTTTGGAGTTGACATTTACAATTGAAAGTTTTACCAATGTAAACAATAAAATAATGTTTATAATTTAATGGGGATCAATCCGCAGGGGAACAGCTATTCATAATATAAGATTGAAAACTTGGAAATAGGAAAAAAACTGTTGCCCATAGACATCTGAAATTGCAGATGTTTTGCCTTTTTGTTTGAGAGAGGGGACACTTATAGAAAGGAGAGATTTCCTCTTTTGGTGCATCCACCAAAAAATCATTCAAAATACTAACTTCCATTCCTATCCTTTCCTTATAAGAGTGGGGAGGAAAGTGGACTAAAGTTAACTCTTCAGTAAACACACTCATCTAAGCATATGCAGAATTGCTTGCAAAATAGTCAATACTTTTTATTTAAAATGGAGAAACAATTGGAGTATATAAGCAATAAAATTAGGATTTCAATTACCTTGATAATCCAAATTGTAGCACAAATTACAAACAGACATAAGGTTAAAAAGGGATTATATATACACAAACATTTAATCTCCTCAAAATACAATTCCACTTGCAAACCCAAAACAAGTTATAGAACAATTTAGTTTATTATGATAACATATTATTTTTTAATAAACAAATATTGCCAGATGACAAAGAAGGGATACTGACCGGCTAACATGAGAACAGTCTTGATGGTGAACTGTCGCGAGCAGAAGTTGAAGAGATCTTCGAGAGAAGGCCCCAGCAGATCCATCACGAGGATGTTGTGGTCCTTTTCGTATCCATACCATCTGTAACAAACATCTAGTCAAAACCGAATAGATAATGACAACCAAAATGTACAGGCCAATGACCTCTAAACATTACAAATGCGTATGTTTAGATTGATGGATGTTTGTTACGAGTTTGTAGCCTAAACTGCTGTCTGGATCTCAATGAAATTTGGCATAGGTCTAGAGGATAGTCTGGAAGAGCACATAGGTTAATCACTTTCGTTATTATTATTCTACGCGGACAGTCGCGGGCAAAAGCTGGTATTCTACATTGTACTCTAATTACTGTAATTTAAAAACGAAACTTGTCTATACGGACATTTTGTAAAATTCCTAAACCTTCAAACTACATCACTGAGTACAATAATCTACGTTCACTAGAAAAAAACTCCATGCATATGAAGTCAATAGCAAAAGCTATTCAAAAAATAAAAATAATTGTAGAACACTTATTATAAATTAAAAAAAAAAAACAATAAATTGTAATTGATTTTTTTTTAAAGAACACTTATTAAAAAAATATCAATTACACTAACATGAGCTTTATTGCTTTTAATTTGACAAACAATAACTTTAATAAGAACCGCACTCACACACTTCACTTAAACCTAAGACCTTGTATGACCAAGTATTGAGGTCAACAATACATTTGCATATAAAGCCTGTCTAATATCTACACCTCATATTCAAGGATTAGGTAATGGATATCGTTATATGGAGAAACATTTTTTTTACATTAAATACATGAAGAATTCATATCTACCCTCCTAGACTTAAAAATTCTTATTTACCTGTCACTTTTGTATTTAACAATTAGGAATTAAAAATAAACTAATAGCTATACATTATTCCAGACTAATTATCTCTATTACAATTTTATCTAGACTAGATCCATTTAGGTATTCTAACCATCTATATAAACTTTCACTTTTATAATATTTACAAAGAAGTAAAATTGGATAAGAATTTTAAAGTTTGTAAAGGTTTTGAGGCAATGCTCACAAAACTTATGAGTAGAAAAGGGCACAGAGGGTGATTATCTCAGCTTGAATAGACATTCATGAATGTCTTTGTAAGCAGAGATTTTACCCCATTGTGCTCATCACAAGTTTGATGGCTGCTGCCTTAGACTGGACATAGATGGTGTTTGTTCCAACTTTGAAATAATATGCTACATTAGTTAATTATAACCATGTATGAATTACCTTATATGTGGTATTCCAATGCCCCCTTGGAGCATTTTATATACTCGGCTCTCATATAGAAGCTGAGGGTGCCTTGCCTTAATGTTTTCTATTTTCACTGCTACCTCCTGCAACAAATAATACATATTACGAAATATACATGAGTATAATATAAACAACAATTTAATTGATTATTTAACTAACATAACTCTGTCTATAAAGTATTAAAACATTTGGTAGCCTATACTTTCAGATTATGTTCTACGACCAATGTTTTCTTTACTTAAAAACATCTCTTACATTATGTTTCACATTTGCACTTCAGTGTATACTTCCCAGTGCAAATAAAAAAATTAAATTAAAACAAACATATAAAAAAACTACTAAAGCAATAAGGTCAGATAATTAAAATATATCTTGAGAAGGTTGCACAAACTGTTTATAAGTGAAATGATTTTGTATATTTTATTTACTAGACATTTAATCGCTTTTAGAAATACACGATAATATTGAGGAAATGTAAAATCTTTGTTGACAATAAATAAGGAAGTACGACAACTGAAACTATTTTTCTATGTGTATCCTTAAAAACAAACACGAAAAGAAAATAACTTAAAAATTCAATTTATAAACGTATAGTTCTAAATTCACGTAACATTATAGGAAAATGCGTTTGAAACCATATTCAAAACAGAATTAAACACGCGAGCCGTCACAAGGCGCGCAAAGATGTCGACTTATAATTGAATTAATAAATGAAAGTACCTTTTTCAGATCATTTACAGCTAAATAAATATCGCCGAAACTGCCACAGCCTATTTTTCGGATAACTTTGTATTCTCCGATACCTGTTTCTATTATTGTATGTTTCTTGATGGTAGCCATTTTCTTTTGTCTTCATAACTCGTTAGTGAAATAAATATTTAACAGACATTTTGATTCTATGAATTAAGGCTACACTTTTTTTGGATTGTTGTAATAACAATCTATTGAAAATGAAATGTTTTTTAACAATTGCTATAAAATTGGACACAAACTCATTTCAGCACGTCAGCTCATTTCTGTGACGTCACGGTGATAGTGTTGCCAGCGCGGAGAAAAATACCAAATTATGTTTGTCAGTAAAAATAAATATTGAACGTCAGTAGAACAAAATGATTTTATTTATATTATAATGGTTTTGCAAATGGATGTAATCAACCTATGGTAATTACATTTTTATATTATAATTTATACCTTTTACATCTAAAGACGGTAGCAAGTAACGAAAGCAAGTAAAAGAACATGAAATTAAAATAGTAAAAACATAGCCACTCAGTGACAGCACAGCTTTTTAATGGTGCAAGAATTTTTTAAATCTGTGCAGTAATTTTAGAGTTATTTCAATACATACAAAATTTCAAAAGAACAAATCTTTCCTCTTTATAATATTAGTACAGATATAAGATTGAGAGTGAAAACAATATGAGAGTTTGAGCAGTATTTTTTGTGTAAGGTTTTATCTCCATTTTATACTTTTTTTGTTGTGTAGACGAGTATAATGAATAAGTGAATTACAAATTGATGTGATTTCATATTTAAAATTAATATAACATTAACAATACAAATAGCATATTTTAAACACAAGATTAATTACTTTCAATGTTGGTTAACTGGAATTTAGTTTCAAGTACACAAAGTTATTTGGTTCTATCTATACTAATATCATAAAGAGGAAAGATTTGTGTTTTTGTATTAGATAAAAATGAAAATGCCATAATATAGTTCATTTTAACCTTATAATTAAATGCCTTTATAAGTGAAATCAAATTATAAATATGTTTTGAATCACACATGTATTTATGTTTAAGCAAATCATGTTAATGCTTATTATCTATTCTAATATTATAAAGAGGAGACATTTGTATATATGTGTTAAAATAACTCAAAAACTACTGGACTGATTTTGAAGATTCTTTCACTGTTAGACAGGTAATTTATCTGTGACTAACATAGGCTATATTTTTTTTAATAACATACAGGTATAATTGAATTCCTTTACAATTAGAAATTAAATTTAACAGTCACATTCATAGTACAATAATCTAGTAACAACCAGAATGTTACAAATGACTTGTTCAAAGTGGATTTTCTATGATCCAGTTTACTGACATTCAAAGATATTATGAAGACTGCAATTTACACTAATATGCAAAAAAAAGTATATTGTTAGTCAGATAAAAATCTGCCCCTAACTTTTTTAAACTACAGATAGAAAAAATAATAAAGTTATATAGAAAATTTTACTAATAATGGTTGATTATTTTCATTTACAAGCAATTGCCGGCAAGGAATTAAAATAAAACTAGAAGCCTATGTGTTTTTCCAGAATATGTTCTACATCTGTGTTAAATTTCAATGCAATTGGTTAAGAGGTTACTGAGATACTTAGTAACAAAAATCCATCCATCCATCCAAATTTCACATTTATAGTATTAGTAAGAAGAAAAATTGAGTACAATTGTACATAAAATAAGAATGTACCCTTTTTGAGGAGATTGCTTTAATGAATGAACATGAAATCTGACACACTCATAGTTAAGTAGATAAAACTTTGGCAGAGTCTGTCCTCAACAGGAGTGAGAGAGAGGCACTGTTTAAGAGGCACAAGCCTCTAAGACACCATGTTGGTGGATTTCTGGCTGCTTTGGCCAAGCTACTGACGGACCAAGCGGACAAAGTCCGCTACATGGCTTTATAGCAATTTGTTAATACTATTTTTGGTTTTTACTTTCTTATTTTGTATTGTTTGTTTACATTTGTATGGTTTCGGTATTTAGTTTAAGGTATTATGGGACTGACATGTTCTAAGGAACCAAAGTCCTTTTAAAAAATAAAGAGAAAAAAAAGTAGATAAAACTAATTTAAAAACAGCTTTGTTTATGAATTTTAGGAATTTGACAATTAGGGCAACCACTAGAATGCTTGAATATTCCATTTATGTATCTAACCTACAATAATTAGTAAACAATGAATAATTTAACAAAAGTATTTTCCTTTATATGCTAATATATGTTTTTAACATCATCATCATCATCATCACCAGCTCACTCGGATCCCCACCGAGGGGCTCAAAGCCTACCCTAATAAGGGGTGAATGTATTTTTAACATATGTAATAATATAATATTATAATATTCATATTTTTTAAGATGTGTATGTGTTTTTAACATAACATTCACTAATTATGTACATTTTATGACATAAGATTTAATGCAAATTAAGATTGAATCATCCTCAGAAAGGGAAATCATTTTAGTAAGAACACATTAAATTGAGTTTATTGACTAAATCATTTGAAAAAGTTTATATCAATGAGGAAAGTTCACATTACAATAGGTTTACACTCTTAGTGTATTCAAAAAAATATGTATTGCCATCCTTTTCATTCTCTTTGAACAAAACAGAGAAAAATAATATCATACATGCTTATCAACCAAAGCCTTTTGTTAATAATACAGGTAAAAAAATGTTTAACAAAAAACAAAACGAATGACACTGGCTGGCTAGGTTCTCATTATTTTTTTTTTCAAAATGTTACAAACAAATGCACATTGCTCACTAACAGGTTATGCCTTTGTTGCAATTATCATTTCACGCATGCAGTAAGGTCATGAGAAAACAGTTAAAATATCGTATAATAACGCTAAATACATTATACGAATGTTTTCATTCAAAACAGGTCATTGAAGTTTCACAATCTTACAAAAACTTCCGAGAAGGGTTATATTAAAATAAAAAGGATATGACTTAGACACGTTTTAGTTTACGTAGGAAGCATGGTTTGAGAATTTAAATAGATCACTGTAACAAAATAAGTGCAAATAGCTTCATTACTTACGAATAAGGTGCGTCATTGAATGGGAACCATTATGGTTTGGCGTTACATACGGGAAGCATATGATTGGGGTCAAGTCACAGCTGTGTATAGTGTTTAAAATGTTTATGTATTTGTTAATTTTACCTCTCCACTTGATATATTGATCGCTAAATGAATATCGCCAAAAGATCCTCCACCTATTCTTCTAACCATCTTATATTTCCCCGCGAGTAACACTTCCCGTCGGGACGTAAACATTGTGAGTTCTTAAATATATATATTCACTAACAAACACGGAAAGTATACAGTTAAAAGTACACTATGTACACTTCACAAAACTAAACACTATTCAATAAAAACACGAGTAAGATCTTGGCTACATTTTCTACAACTAAACAGATAAGAAATGTTTGATCGATGTTGCCAGATAATAAGAAAAAATTCTACAAAACCTTTTATAAAAATTCGTAGTTTTTTTTTTTTCAAATTGAAAATGTTACCATATATAATAATTTTAACATGATTTTTATCGCCATAAAGCACTGTAGTAGCTTTTGCTTTGAAATAAAAGGACGTCTTTAAAGAGAACACGTAGTAGGAGACATTTGATAGAAAAAGCCTGGTGATGCAATTAGAAAACGAAACATTTACATAATATCCTTTCAAGGCTTGTTTTATCAATATTACCAAGACAATAATCGCACATTTTGTTGACTTCCGACCTAAAACAGAGCTATTTGCTTATGTTTTTGTAGATCAGGATTTTCTTTCAATTAATTAATTTCTGGCTAGAATTTTTAATTCAATTCAGCTATGCTAGATGGCGCAGTTGTATAAGGTATTTTAATTTTCCATAGATGGCGCTAGTAATCAAGACTTTCCAATGGCTTTTGGGGATTAAATTGTATGAACATTGATGTTAAGTTTTACATTAAACAAATTTAAAGGAAATATAGTTTAAACAAATAATAGAAATTAAGCTTTTAGAAATAATGTTATGTTTCATTTGATTATTTATGTGAAATCATTACTAACATAAATATATTTCTATATTGACAAGACTGAACAATATAAGGAAAATAACAAGGGAAATAAAAATAACAGTACTACAATAACAAGAGCACTTTAACAATTGGAATTCAAGAATAGCACGAGACTAATCTACACTGATATTATAAAGAGGAAAGATTTGCATCTGAATTCTTGCATGTATTGAAATAACTCAAAAACTACTGGGCCGATTAGAAAAATTCTGTAACCATTAAAAAGCTATGTTATTTGCGAGTAACATAGGTGATATTTTTGGTTATTTTTTAATTTAAGGTGGCGAAGTCGCCAGTAACAGCTAGTATTTATAATCAAGGTGTCATAAATTGCTTTTAGAGCTTGTATTGTGTTCTATAGTTTTACATTCTCTTTACTAACCATTTCAACATTTAGAGTTATGATAACCTTCCAACCAATACTCAGTTATAGATAGATAGAAATAATTTAAAAAGGGAAAAAAGGTTGGCTCTAAAATCCTAATAAACTAGATAACATATATAGGACTTGCACACATCAACAAATTAAAATGCAAAAAGACATTATTCAGAGTTATGTTACAAGATTTACAGGTGTAATATTTTTGGAACATTCTAACACAATTTTTTTTCTTACAAGAATGTCCCAGCAAAACATACCTTCTTGTAAAATGCATGATTTTAAAATCAAAATGTAAAATTAATTTGAAATCGGCTCTGTTAAAACAACAAATATGTAACAAGTAAATTAAAATAATCTATACTAATATTATAAAGAGGAGAGATTTATGTTTTTGTAGGTATTAGAGTGGCTTGGAGGCTGCTGGACCGATTTCAAATTCATTCACCATTGAATAGCTACATTATTTGTGAGTAAAATAGTCTAAGTTTCTTTATTACTTTTTATATGTTATAAACTAAGTGACCAGTGGTTACACATAAATCCTGTGGGTTTCTGTACCGCTTATAACATTTCTTTATTGTATTCTTTCAATTTATGTTTTTGTCCAATAAAATAAAAAAATGCATTGTGATTATGATAGAATGGGACACATTAAATTGAACAGGCTCAGATGGGCGGGCCACGTGGTGCGGATGGATGACACTAGAGTTCCTAAATGCGTCATGACAAGTAATCCCGAGGGCCGTCGAAGTCGAGGGAGGCCAAAGCTCCGGTGGATAGACGGCATAAGTAGAGACGTGAAAACCGTTGGCATAGCGAACTGGAGGACCATGGCCAGAGATAGGCTGAAATGGAAAAAACTGCTGGACCAAGCCAAGGCCCACAAAGGGCTGTAGAGCTACAGAAGAAGAAGAAGATTATGATAGAGATGTAACATTTGAATCAAGCTGGTTCTCTTGTAATACTACACTTTGACTGAATTACCTTGTAACATTTTACAACAAACTGTGTAGTGTTTCAGTATGCTATTTTAGATATAATATGTTTCACAATTTTCTTAATATGAATTTCATTTGAAAACAATCAGTTGGGAGAATTTAATGTAATGAAATGACAAGATATATCCTTTATTGAACTGCAAATAATAAATCAGTTATCTATAATATTTAAACACCAGTAAACTCATATTATAGTTTACTTGTAATCAAATAATTTGATACTGGTCTGCTTCATTTGAAACTTTCATCCATATTTGTGTTGACATCTTTTTTATGTATAAATTAAAATTTAACCTTGTACAATTTGAGGAAGTTTGAGAGTAGTCCCAGTGGTAGAAAAGGTAAGGAGTGAAAGGTTGGCATGGTATAGGCATGTTTTGAGGAGGGATAAATCCCATGTAACAAGGATGTTAGTAATGAGTGTGGAAGGGTACACCGGTAGAGGTGTTAAAGGTGACATGATCAAGACGGGAGTGATGACTAAGATGATATAGAGTTATGTGGAGGACAAAAACCTGTTGCTCCGACCCTATGGCAGTAGAATAAGGAAGAAGATGATAACAGTAAGCTGCATAAATAAGCCTTCAGTTTTAAATACTTGTATACTTTTTGATCACTAATTCAAGCTATTAAATAAAATGCATGTGTATTTTTAAAACCAATAGTATATGCAGCTGACTGTACCAGCACATAAAAAGATTTGCAGTAGAACCATACAACCATAAATGATGATAATTGCTGTTTCGTTTTTAATTTACAAACAATGACAGGATGGTGACTGGTATATCAACATGGGAATGCAAATAACAGTTTTACTATAAACTACCACAAGCCTTATTACAATAGATTGAGAACTTATTTATCCTATGATAAACATAATTTTAAAAAGAAATTAACATTACAAACAGAACATCACATCTTAATATTACAAATGTAAAATTTCCGACGAACGGATGTTAGTTAGGTATCTCCGGAACAGCCCTATGGAAATTGATGAAATTTGGCAAATGTAGAACATAATCTGGAAGAACATATAGATGATTTACGAAGTTTTTTTTTAATTCTGCATGGATGGAGTTGCTTCAGTGTAAATAAAATATGACCACTCAGCGTTTACCTTTGTACTCTAGGTTATTTTTACATGTTAATTTTTAACATGTAAAAATAACCATGTATGTTTAGTGTAAACATTGTAAATGAAACTGTGCATATAGGATTTTTTAGCTTACAAATATGCCAAATCATAATTAATGTAAACACTATAGTAATTACATCAGCTAATATAGGAAATGTGTGAGAAATAGACTTAAATAGATAAGATACATGGAAAAATCAATATTACAATGGGTATCCAGTACCAATAGAGGGAGACAGCAAGATATATTTTTCATTTAAATGTATTTCCTGACTTTAGAAAGAGGCTCAAGGTTTGTGTGTATAATTTCATGAAATTCATACATATATGAAAGTTAACTACTTAGCTGAGTTTGATGAGAGAAGTGACTTAGTGTCCCTGCAGTTTATTTGTTTATTTTTTAAATAACAAGATGTGTTAGTGTTATACAGGTATTTCGTAAGTAAAAATGTATTAGAAAGTCATTATACATGATGATAGATATGATAAATTTGTTTCTATAAACTATTCCTTAAAATAATAATTTCATATTTTGTAATATTATCGTACTTATTACATACAAATTATGTTTATGACTTGTTAAGTATTAATACAATGAAGTATTTTACAAGCAATATTCAAGAGTTTCCTTGTATAATGTTAAAGAAACAAGCACATACATAAAATGTAAATTATTGATTTCAAAGTGAATTTTAGCAAGATAATAATCCTACGTTATTCCTATTAGATCTAAATTATATGTTTCTTAGAAATGTATTGCAATAATTGGATTCAAGTCGACATACTTGGCGCAAATTTTTATGAAATCACGGTCATTCAGATAAAACTATCATACAATCATATTTTGATTTTTTTCTATTCCTATGTTAGTGCGTAATAATCGCAAGAAAGATCGACATTTAGTCCTTGAGCCTTCGTCAACCTAACACGGACGTATGTACGCAATTTCACAACCCCTTGACGACCTCTTTTCAAACTTGAAATAACACGTCAAACGTATATAAAATTACTATAACAATGAATCAGCCACTTACCTCGCCATTAGCGGTGTTTATTCCCAGATAAATATCACCGAATGAACCACCACCGATTCTCCTAATAATCCTATATTTTCCTGCAATAAGAACCTCCCTTTTAATTGCCAGCATACCCTGAAAGTTCGACATGGTGACTGATTGTTCTCTAATTTGGGTAGATTACACGAATTTTGTTATAAAACCACACAAAGATCTTGAAACACTACAACAACAAGTTTTGACGCGCTATCATTTCTATTTCGTGATGTCGTGAACAATATTAGCAAAACGGAAAGAAAGATGTAAAACGAAAGATAGTAACTGGCTGGTATGGGCACGTTCCGATACACGATTTACTTTTACGGTAAGGTCAATGTTGCCATACAGCAATGTAATGTTTAATCAATTTTAATTCTTGTAATCGCTACTTGCACTTTATTTCATTGTGTATTAACAATGAATTTTGCATTGTAAAACTGTAGTTGAATTATTTAATACATATATACAACATTTTGGACATTCTATTAATAAAATATATAGTTGTATGGTCACCGTAAGTTTATTAATTACCAAAAACTACCAATATCGATTTTTGCCACAGATAAAACTACTGCAGTGTTATAAAAGGAAACTCTTGAAGGATTGAGTTAGCGTGAATTCTTTTTTGGACTGGTGTGTATAACCGGATTTATAGGCCTAATCCCATTCTGCTTTTATAAATAAATGAAAAACATATTTTTAAATATTTTTTTATTAATATTGTTTACACGTAAAATAGAACAAAGTACAAGTATGCATTTTTAGTTTATTTTTTCGATTAAAAATAACAGATAAACACATTTAAAGATTTGCAAACTATAAACAGCAATGAAAACAAGTCAAAAAAATATAATTACAAGTATTTCGCGATTTACATTAAAAAATAAACATAGAATACAATTTTTAAACTAGCAAATGATTATAAATTCGAAAAAACGTGCTTAAAAATAAAGTTATTCTTAATTCTAGTGCGAAACATTAAAAATAAATTCATTGAAGAAAATGCACTTTTACATAATACATATTACGTCAAATGTATATAACAATGGCAGTCTGTTTTTAAATAAAATACACAATAAGTAGATTAAGAACTTGAAAATATACTTATAGTTAACGGTTTAAAGGTATAGTCGATAAGAAAAAAATATTTGCTTTAGTTATTTTCTTAGTGACTGTACCTCAAAGCATACCTTTTTATGTCAAAGATTAACTAATGTTAAAACGGTTTGCTGTACAATACAACCGTCACAAAATTTAATAAATCTTATTGACTTTCTATAAATGTATATTTTAGAAAAAAGAAAATATTACTAACATTCGTTGAATTTTGCTCACTCTAAAACAGACATCTATCCCTTTCAGAACTAAATCAATTGCTATTATTACGTCGAAATATTCAACATTGGTTAGTTTAGTATCAAAATTGTTTACTATACTATCAATGTTACATCTGTTTTCAAACGTCAAAAAATGCATTGTTATGCATTTCCCTTAAAGCCTATACTGTTGGCCAGTAAAGTTGGAAAATTGCGCTCAATAATTACCATTATTCAGTGAGACCACCCCCCACATATTCTACAATTAATCCAACTTATTTTTCCGTTAAGTTTAGAAAGGGATAAATCTACTAAAACGGTAGTAATTTCTACGCTGGCAACATTATAGCGCAGTTAAGGCGCTGGCATACACTTAAGGCGTTCGAAGGCGGATTTCTCCAGCGCCTCGCGATGATCTGGGTGTGCGATCTTGATCAGTTCGTACGCTCGCTGACGTAACGTCTTACCGAATAGATACGCGATACCTTGTTCCGTAACCACGTAGTGGACATGCGCTCTCGTTGTTACTACACCCGCTCCTGGATTAGAAAAAACACCGTAAATGTTTATTATTTATTTATATAACTAGCTGTTGTTCGCGAAATCGTCCGCGTGTAATCTATATTAATATTATAAAGAAGAATGATTTGTATTTTTATATGTATTGAAATAAATCAAAAACTACTGGGCCGATTTTAAAAATTCTGTCACCGTTAGATAGGGAATTTATAACAGGCTATATCTTTTAATTTCACAAGAGAGTTCGTTAATTTTAAAACATTCATCTTGTATATTTGGTATCAAAAATGTAATATTGACTTTTCATAGCAAAATATATTTTTTATTTATTTAATAACGAGAATATAGCATCTTTACAGAAATCTAATGTGACACTATATCTATGTGATAATACATAATATTACAAAACATAGTTGAAATACAATAAAAAATTGTTAATGAATAAGAAAAAAAATCAAATTATACACAGAAATCAAAAATAGGAATATAACAACATATAGCTAATATAATAATCCTACTAATATTATAAATGCAAAAGTTTGGATGGATGGATGGATGTTTGTTACAGTTTGTAGCCTATACAGCTGAACGGATCTCGATGAAATTTAGCATCGATGTTGAGGATAGTCTGGAAGAACACATAGGATATTTGCTTTTCTTTTAATTCCAAGCGGACGGAGTCGCGGCCGAAAGCTAGTGTACTCTAAAATTCGTTAGCCAATGACAAGCCTGTTGTTGTTAAAGAGCACATACTGTGCCCACTCCGAGACTAGGGAAAGTTTAGGACCAATTGTTTTTTTTTACTTCTTTACTTACCAACTTTAAGTGTCGGCACTATCTTGGTCTCATTCTTCTTGGTGGTGGAGACGAGGGCGATGATGGGCTTCCCGCGGCCGTCCACCGACTCAGCAGCACCACGGATGAAGTCCACTTGACCACCAAAGCCGGAGTACATCCGGGTACCTAACAAATTAATACTAGTGCTTGAATTCCTGTGATAGACTGCTTTTTTATGTTCATCATCATCATCACCACAACTAGATGTTCCCACTGAGTGGCTCGGATTGTTTTATGTTTGTTAAGCTAATAGTTGACTGTACCACTTGGTTATGTGGAGGTAAGAGGAAGTTTGAGTGTAGCTCCGGTAGAGAAATTAAGAGGTAAGTTATCATCGGGGCTTATTACAAGATTGTTATTTTTTTTTTTATAAAATAAGGTGGCAAACGAGCAAGCGGACACTTGAATCCGCCAGAGTGGCGAAGCGACCACTGCCCATAGACATCCGCAATTGCAGATGCGTTGCCTACCCTTATACGACGGAGGAGGAGACGCACATCAAGAGGATATTTCCTCTTCCTATGTATCTCCTCTACCGTCAAATCCACTTCCCGTTCCCGTCCTCTCCTTGTAAGAAAAGGGTGGTAAAGAGAAAGGGACTTAAATTAGGCCTCTGGCACCACACTCATCAGACGAAACACGGAATGGCTTCCATTTCACGCCTGTCTTCTGTGTGGTCGTGGTATTACTGGGGGCGAGCCCTGCAGTGCTAAGATGTTAAAGCGGGCACTACCACTGTTAGTTACGAGTGTGGTATCAGTAGAGGTAGATATAGAAAGAGATGGATTTCGTGAAAAGTATCAAGAAGGGAGTGACTGAGATGACGTATGATAGAGTTATTTGAAAAAAATCTGTACTACGGGAGTAGGATTAGGATGATATATCGACGAGTGAAAGGCTATTTCTTTCAACCGCCATTTTACGCGATATTGACTTATATATTCGGAATCAGCGAATTTTAAATATGAGATAAATAATGAAGTATACAGAATTATAGTAATTTTAATCTAGGACCGACATGAAAATCTTTCAATTAAAATTATTTTCAGGATTTGCTTTCTTAATGGCTCTCCTGAACAATTAACCTAATGGCGCTTAAAACAAATAGTCTCTCACCCATCTATATTTATACTATTATAATAAAGCGTAAACACACACTTCTTTGTTGCCTAAGATGTCAGCAATTACAGCATATTTTTGAATAATTCATTTTTTAATAAAAAGCCCTACACTTACGTCACGCTTTAGGCTATATATTTTCAAGCCATTAAGGGGGTAAATATTTTGGATAAAAATCCTAATGTGGGAAAGAGACCATAAGTTGCTGTCAACATCAAGAAAGCAAGGTTGCCATGGTTTGTCAGTCATTTTGACATTTGCAATTGATTATTTGACGCATGTAAACAATGAAATAAAATTTTCATGTTATGCGGATGAAGTCGTAGGGGAACAGCTAGTCTATATGAAGATTTAACTCACCGATGGAATCAGCACAAACTTGTCCGGTAAGGTCCACTTCAATGCAGGAGTTGATAGCTGTCATCGTCGGCTGCAGTGACACAATGTGAGTATTGTTCACGTAATCTATCTCCAACATTTCTGGAACAAACATTATTTTATTTATTTACATTTAACTGTGTCTGTGTGGAATTAAAAAAACAGAAGTGTGTCATTTCAGATTTTGTTATCTATGTTTTTTTTATATAACATAAGGTAGCAAACGAGCAAGCGGCCAACTGAATCCATCGAAATGGAAAGCGACCGCTGCCCATAAACATCCACATCCGCAATTGCAGATGCGTTGCCTACCCTTAACTGACAAAGGAGGAGACCCACGTGAAGAGGTAATTTCCCCTTCCTATGCGTTTCCTCCACCGTCTAATCCACTTTTCCTTCCCATCCTTTCCTTTTAAGAAAAGGGTATAAAGGGAAAGGGACTAAAATTAGGCCTCCGGCACCACACTCATCAGACGAAAAGCGGAATCGCTTCCACTTCACGCCTGTTTTCTGTGTGGTCGTGGTATTACTGGGGGCGAGCCGACCCATTAGTGCGAAGATGTTAAAGCGGGCTCTACCACTGTGAAATGTGTCAAATGTTTTCGAGATCCACTTAGCAGTTTAGGCTGAAAACTCTAATAGCACATTTATGACCGTATTAAACTATTTTTTAGAAAAGTAACTGATAACTAAGCTGTTCTAGGTAGAATAAATCAGAAAAAAGGGAAATTTCTAATAAATTTGTAACAAAAGGTTCACATCTGTCAAATATAATTGGAAAAGTACATAAAATAAACCTAACTTTAGATCTGTGACGTCACGATACGTCACAACATGGCGTATCGTGCAGAATCATACATACACTAGTCTATTTAAAAATCGGTGAAATCTTTCAAATCAATTTTTTAATATTTACTTGTGACTTCGTGCACGTGAAATTTTGCCCATATTACTAGGCAATAACTTATTATTAGGTATTTTTTTGTAAAAGTTAGTAAGTAAGTAGTAAGTAGGTATTTTTTGTAAAAGTTTTTTTTTAAATCGGCTCAGTAGTTTTTGAGTTATTTCAATAGATACAAAAATGGAAATCGCTTTTTAATATTAGTATAGACATAAAAATAAAAAAACATTATTTAGAAAGGATTTAAAAAGATTCTCACCTATAAAGGGATTATTATCCACGAAGTCGTATAGTTCGCGATTGCCAACAAGAAAACTGCCCACAATACGACCCTTGTGAGTTTTCTTCCTGTAAAAGAATTACAATTACCACTACACATATAATTAGTTGTTGCTCGCGACTTCGTGTGTGAAATTGGAAAAATAAGAATATAGCCTATATCACTGATAAAGTAGCTTTTTAATGGTGAAATAATTTTTAAAATAGGTCCAGTAGTTTTTGAGTTATTTCACTACGTACAATAATGTAAATCTTTACTCTTTATAATGTTAGTGTAAATGAATTGTTTATTATTAAAAAAATATTTTTCGATAACATTACATGTAACTTGTTAATAACGAAAATAATAATATTTGTAATGGGTAAATTTCGGAACTGCTGGACCTATTTTGACAGGACTTTCTTTTTTTAACATCGCGCTAACAAACTTACAGGTGACCGGTATTAATAAAAACCTAGGAAATAAAGTAGAGAAAAAAATAGATAACATGAATTTAATTTACATTTAAAATAATGTATTTTTAGACAATAAATCGTTGTTACGCTTCAATACTAAAACACCGCCAAATACGGTGCGCTTATTTGACGTTGACAGCTGTCATAGGGATGGGACGCATACGAGTTAGTGTTGTGCTGCACCGGCAAAATATCGGTATTAGTATATACGTACTTGTTATTAGTAACACATCCCCTGCGGACGAGGTCGATAACGCCCACACTGAACATCTCCGAATGGATGCCCAAGTCCTTGTGGTTCTTCAGCGCGGACAGCACCGCGTCTGGGATACTTCCAATACCTATTAATTAAAAATATTAAAATTCCGTATTGCCATTCATTAACTCGCCCTTGTTCCTACAAAGGGTCGGCACAGTATATATTCCATACATTTCTAACTCTTATATATGAATTCACTCCCTCAAGCATGTCCTCTTTTTGAGGTCAACTTTTGTTTTGAATACTTTCTTATTTATGGCATCATCGCGTCGCGCTAAAGCTTTGCTTTGCCCAACCAATATTCTTCTTCTTCCTTAGCTCTACAGCCCTTTATGGCCCTTGGCTCGGTCAAGCAATATTAGTATACAAAATTCAAAAATATTGCAAATAAAATGGTAACTTAGTTATCTGATTGATATTAGGTTAATGTTTGTCCCTCCTATGTAAGTACAGTCACGTTCATTGGTGGTGTTCCACTTTTAAAAAACAATCGATTATATGTATTATATGATTTGTACTTAAAAGTCCTCAAATATTATGATTCCATACTATACAAAAAAAAATATCCGAACGGTAGTTTGCAGGTTTCCGTTTTTTTTTCTCGGATTTTTTTTTGTCACTGAATGGCCACTGTTTGCCTTGAAGAGGCATTTACAGATTTACAGATGGCGCTTACCCTAAACCTCGTTTATGAGTACAAATTTTTTTTTCGAAGTGATTTTTGTAAATCTTACCCATCTGTAACGTAGCTCCATCTTCTACCAGATTATCACCGATCAGCTGACCTATCTTCATCTCTTCAGGACTCGCAGGTCCTTTACTGCCGTGTTCAGGTAACGGAGTATTATCTTCGACCGCGAAATCGATATGCGATACATGGATAATCGCATCACCGAATGTTCGAGGCATGTTTACGTTGATTTGAGCTAGAAAAAACGTAAAAGCAAACAATTTTTTGTATTTAATATAGATGTATCATACTAATATTATAAATGCGAAAGTTTAGATGGATGAATGTTTGTAAGAGTTTGTAAACGGCTGAACGGATCTCCATGAAATTTGGCATAAATGTAGAGAGTCTGGAAGAACACTTGGGCTACTCACTTTTGTTTGTTTTTTAATTCACGCGGACGAAATCGCGGGCGTAAGCTGGTAATATAAATGCGAACGCTTAGACGGATGCATATTTGTTAGAGTTTGTAGCTTAAACTGCTGAACGGATCTCGATGTAATTAGGTATAGATATAGAGGGCAGTTTGGAAGAACACATAGGCTACTCAATTTTGTGTTTTTTAATTCCACGCGGACGGAGTCGCGGGCGAAAGCTAGTTAATAAAATAAACATATAAGTCATTTTTTAAATCTTTAATAGGAAAGGGGGGAATTTTATCTTTAAATAAATAAGTTTGCGATGTACAGTTAAAATTTTCAGATGAATCATTAAAGATATATGATTTTTTCTTTATAAATGTAATTCTTCTTACCTATAATAATCTTAGAATTAACGAGTGCTGACCTCACGCAGTCGACCGACGTTCCCAAGCTGCAGTAACCATGTTGGTCGGGGGGAGATACCTAGAAAGTTACATTTTTAAATTACAATAACTGCCGAAACTATAACTGCCGATAACCTGATAAAACCCAACATTATGGGTCTCCCTTAGTTCTTTAAACAGTTAAAAACCCTAAGTGCGGTAATATGGTTTCTAATGCTGGGTTTCTGAAGTTTTTTTTTATAATATAAGGCGGCAAACGAGCAAGCGGCCACCTGAATCCACCGAAATGGAAAGCGACCGCTGCCCATAAACATCCGCAATTGCAGATGCGTTGCCTACCCTTAATTGACGGAGGAGGAGACGCACATAAAGAGAATATTTCCCCTTCCTATGCTTCTCCTCCACCGTCAAATCCACTTTTCCTTCCCATCCGTTCCTCTTAAGAAAAGTGTGTAAAGGGAAAGGGACTAAAATTAGGCCTCCGGCACCACACTCATCAGACTAAACACGGAATTGCTTCCATTTCACGCCTGTTTCCTGTGTGGTCGTGGTATTACACCGGGCGAGCCAGCCCTGCAGTGCTAAGATGTTAAAGCGGGCAAAATGTAACCATAAGTTATGTTTTTATTGGAAGCGGTTATTTACGTAATTCGTAAATTATAGCAATATCAACTTTATTCCTACGTAATAAGACTTCGATTACAATAACAACGAGATCGTCAATAGGTTAAGAGTTGTCAAAGGATAATTAATAGGACGTCCATCATACGCAATTAGATTCCAACAGTAAATTGACATTTGTTAAACGTACCAACAAACCATGACCTTGTTAACCATTAAAATTGATATAAGATTTTTATTTAAACACTTATTGAGATAGAAAAAACACTAAATTTGAAGTTAAACTAACCATAATAATTTAAAGGAAATCGCGTTCAGATCGGTCAACTAGTTTTTGAGATTAGCGCACACAAACACACAGACAAAATTCGTTACAATGTTTTGAGTTTAGAACATTTTTTTTAATTTAGTACTAATACATGACATGTTATGGGGACATAAACCTGAAAGTGTTAAGAATGAATGTGGATGGTTACAAAGGAAGAGGAAGACCGAAGTAAGTATGGATGGATTGTGTGAAAGAGGATATGCTTAAGAAATGAGTGGATTCAGATATGACGGCTGATAGAGATGTATGGAAGAGCAGCACATACTGTGCCGACCCTCCATAAGGGACAAGGGCAAGTTGATGATGAGTACCAAATCGTTTTATAATGAGTCTTTCTCAGTCGTAATAAAGTTCAAAATAACCTGTATGAGAGCAATGTCGGGCTGTATGATCTTCCTGTGGAACAGCTTAGGAATGTCCTGCAGGAAGATGGGGATCGCGTCCGATCTGCCTTCTGCTACCGACTTGCGAACGTTCGCTGCCATGAACAGAGATACCGATCTGTAAATTAAGAACGTCAAATAAGCTCTTAAATTATACTTCTTACTAATAAATACGAAAATTTTGATGAATGTTTGTTCCTATGCATTTCCAGAACGCCTTAACAGATCTCGCTGGAATTTGACATAGATGGAAGACATAGTCTGTAACTTAATAAGTTATTTTTTATAATGTTCGTAAGATAAGAGTTGTTTACCACGTCTTAGTTAGCCCGCGAACATGGCGCATGCAACTGTGCCGAAATATCGGGAGCTAAAACAACCCAATCGTGGTAAGAAACCCGTATCTTACGAACATTATATTTAGAAAAACCACGACAGTTTAAAGTTATAAAAGTTATTTTCAACGCCGCGGGCGAAGTCGAGGAGACAGCTAGTATAGCATAAGATGGAAGACTATAACTAAGTTTTAGACATCTTTGAGCAACGTCAATTTTACATGTCAAAATGCTTATGTGCCATCTTTTGGTATCAAAAAAGATGACTGCTACATAACATTGGACATCAGATGGTAGTTTTACAATCAAACTATCTATCCGTTTGTCAATATTTCAATTATCAATGATCAAGTACCTATACTTTATCAGGTATTTGTATCCATCGTACTGACGATAAGATAAATTCTGTTATGTAAAATTTAAAGAAACGGTTACAATACCTCACATAAACCATGAACAATTTTTTAAATTTAGTATAAGGTAGCAAACGAGCTAGCGGCTATTACAATTCGGTATAATAGCGAAGTGACCGATGCCCACAAACATTAGGGGGGTCTTTGAGGGTACGCTCTTTTCTTGAAGGCCTCTAAATCGTAACTGTTGTACCGCTGAGGACATAGTATTCCACAACGCGGCTGTACGAGGTAAGGAAGTACGTAAAAACCTCGTCGTTGTGGAATGCCAACCGTCGAGATGGTAACGATGATATTTGGCACTCCGTAGACTCGTGCGATGCGAATCATATTTTTATAAAATACAATGCTTTATACCTGAATATATCCTTGCATTCAGGAGCGACATAAGGCGCCTCCTTCTCCGTATGCATGTGGACGACCTTAATGTCACGTAAACTGCCCGACTTGCCGACGTCCGTCATCGCGTTGAGTAGGGGCACAGGGGTTGCAGCGGCTCCCTGCGCGTACACAGTCTGACCTGAAAAGATAGACATATAATGTAAACCATATTCAATTATAACAATTTGTGTGAATGCCTAGTTCGTAACAAAGATCTTCCAAAACATTCACTTGTGTACTTTACTGATATTGCGAACGACTTTTGATCGGTAGAGAATTGTTATCCACTAAATTATCGGTATTTGACTAAACTACTAGTTTATGGAGCGACCACCGAAGCGATCTAAGAGCTCGGTGGCCTCCCAATCCAGTAATAATAACGAAGTAACGGCCCCCCTCGAGCCTAGTTACTCATAAAAGAGGTTTAGGCTAAGCGCCATCTGCGCTCGGCCACCTCAAGCCCGGTGAATCTGTAAATGCCTCTCAATGGCAAACAGTGACATATCAGTCACAAAAAAAAATAAACTACTAGCCTACTGCGAACTTGGCATCATCATTAACTTGCCCTTGTCCCTACGATCGGCACAGTATGTGCTGCACTTTCATACATTTCTATCAGCCGTCATACCTGAATCCACTCCCTTCTTCATATCCCTTATTACACAATCTGTACTTTCTTCGGTCTTTCTCTACCTTTGTAGCCCACATTCAATCTTAACACTTTCTTGTTTATGTCCTCATCCTCTAGTTGCATAACATAAGTTATTTAAGCACTGGATAAATGCATTTTTACATCCACCTTGATACCTTTAAGATAAGACAGACATCTCCTGATTTAGTTTTACTGAGTATACTTTTGCATCTACATAAGGCATTTCTAAATTGGTCCTGATGGACTCCAAAGTGGTCCTGATGGACTCGATAGAGCCCACGAAAGACCTGACGAGGGTGACCAATCGTATGGACATAAAGCCGAGGGTTAACAAGTCGGAGTAAAGGGGTACGATAACTTTGTGAATCTTAAATGTTTATGTACGTATTGTTTTTAATTTTAGAGGTGTGTGTTATCATAAATTGCGTTGAACGACTGATCTTTCACCGGTTCTTTGGACTTTAGTTCATGACGTTATTGTGATAAAGTAATTAATATTAACAAGTATAAGCAATTACGAGGTATAATTATGACTCTTAATGTAACTTTACTAAAGACCAGCTGTTTGCGACTTCGCCCGCGTGAAATTATAAAATAAGGGCTGTTCCCATGCGACTTCATCCGCATGAATTATAAAAAAAACATTTTATTGATCACATTTGTCAAATTATCATATATAATAAAAAAATAGTTATTCGAAAATATGCAGTGCTTGCTGACATCATAGGCAACAAAGAAGTGTGTGTTTAGGCTTTATTACAATAGTATAGATAGCCTATGTTACCCACTGATAACATAGCTTTTTAATGATGAAAGAAATTTTGAAATTGCTCAGTAGTTTTTGTGTTATTTCAATACAAGCAAACATAAAAAAAAATACAGATCTTTCCTCATTTTAATAATACATTAGTATAGAAGTTTGGACATATCAGTTATTACCAAAACATCAAGATCACAGATATAAAAAAAATTTGATCGTATGTATACAACTACATTGCTGTCGCGTCTTTTTCAAACAAATTGAAAGAGATAACATGATTCCACTAATGTGTTTTGTCAGTGGACGCCGGTTATAAACATTTACCGAGTCTTGTAATACACACTTGAGCAATAAAGAGGTCAACGATCATTCAATTTGACGCACGGAGTATCGACCGAGTTCCCCTTTTCGACCTTATTCAAACCATTTGTTCCTTTTGGCTTATGTTACTTGTAAACTAATGAAATGTCACTTTCAAAGACATTCATTTAAATAATATAGCTTTTGCCCGCGACTTTATTGTGTACTAGCTGTTCTCGTGCGGCTTCATCCGCTTGAAATTATAAAAACTTTATTTTACTGTTTACATTTGTTAATTATCAATAGCTAATGTCAAAATGACATGACATGACAAACCTTGGCAATCTTGCTTCCTTGATGTTGGCAGCAACTTATGGTCTCTTTCCCACATTAGGGTTATTACCCAAAATATTTACCCCCTAAGTTTAATGGCGTGAAAAGATATAGCCTAAAGCAAGCTGACATCTTAGGCAACAAAGAATTGTGGGTGTTCGCTTTATTAAAATAGTATAGACTAGCCTATGTGTTCTTCCAGACTATATGTGTGCCAAATATACATAGATCCGTTGAGCTGTTCTGGACATACACATTAACAATTATCTAAACTTTCGCATTTATATTATTAGTAAGAACAACGTTATTATATTTCGATACCCAGTCTAGCGATTCTTTTATTATAACACTAGGTGTTGCCCGCGACTTCGTCCACACAATATTAAGATAAAAAAAATATCCTATAATGTGCCCGTCTATGTCAGCTACCCTTAAGTGAAAGTCCGATCGAAAACGGCGCAGCCGTTTCGGAGATTACCCGGAACAAACGCGGCTTGCGGACAGACAGAGACAAAAAATGTTTAAATGCTATAAAAAAATGTTTATTTTTCGTTATCAGCATCGCAAATACATCATCTTTTGATATTAGAGACACTCTAATTTTATTATATGTATAGACGTATTTCGTTTATTATTCACTTGAATACAGTGACTGGGTCATGGTAGTATGAATACTGTATTGCAAGGTTAGAGGAAAACTGGAATGAAAATAAGTAGAGGTAAACTTTTAAAAACAAAAGCCAAGGATAAATTGGCCAGGTTTTTTATCGTTGATTTGCACTACTTAATAAAACACGAGAAGGGCTAAGCAGAAGGAACACTGGATCATCAACGTCAATGGGAATACACTTGTATAAAATTGTATAAAAATATGCCTGTCTCGGTTTTCGTCAAACAGATGAGCGAGATGACTATATGTTTTTGTTTTCGTGTTAAAAATAATCAAAACAACCTTGACAATGACAAAATTTCGCGTAGAATAAAAAAAACATTTGGAATGTTTAAATAGATGTAATAAACAGAGATATTGCGTTTCGTATTTATGCTGACCTTAATGTAGAATGACGTCATAGCTTCGAGATATCGAAGTCCTCAGTTTATCTACCACAACCACGAGTTTTCACTCCCGAGCTTAACATATTGCCATCCTGCTCATTCTCTTTGAAAAGAAGAGAGACAACAAAGGTTATAAACAATTGAAACTCGAATAAAAAACAAGAATGCTCTGTTTTTAATAGGCTAAGATAAAACGTATTACATGATTGCATGCGAGATGTTTACATATTATTAACCTAGTTACTATATCAGAAAACTATTTTACTGCTGCATAAAATCGTATAAACTGCCAATACTAACAGTATAAACAAGTCATTGATATCATTACAAGTTAAGTGTTTAACAATTTTTTACGTCGGGGGGAAATCTACCAAAGATACCCTACCCTATGGGCGGAGGGCCTTATGTGGAATTTGACCTACTAAAATCCCCTCGGTGGGTTAACCCCTAAGTCAATTTCACCCTTAATCTATTTAAAATGAATAATTAGGGCATACATCTATCAGTTTCAACTCCCTAGAAACAAAGCCTCTTATTATCTTTAACAAAACTATGAGAAGGTTTTATATCAGTAAATTCGGAGTTTTAAATGTTTCTGCCAAGTGTCGAAACCCATACCACAAATAAGCATGTGATTTCAACAATAATGAATAATAATAGCGTTAAATACATTCACACGATCTTCAAGGTCAACACACAAAATATATTTTCATAAGGTCTTTGCCTTTTTAAATAATCTGAAGTCTTCACTACAGAAACGCTAAGGACAAACGACAATCGACTTTTCCAGAAGTTTCTAATTACGCGTGTATATTGCTTTTAATGTGATGATAACTTTTTGTTTTCATTCAGGTTTTGACAATGAAAATAACAACGATAACAGCGTTGAATGGATAATTTTAACTCGGAGCTGAAAGCGACAATTTTGTTGGATAAGGTGACGTCATTGTTTATTTATATACCTGTAAATGCGGTGGCTAACCACTAGTATGAAATTACAGTTGTACAGGACGAAGGGCTGTACGTTATACTTTGTGTTGAATTATCGCAATATTCGATCTATAACTTTTTCTGATGTTGCTATTTATGTTATTATGCCTATTATACACGCTCAGTTTTAACTGAACAGTCGGATGGTTCGGTTAAGTATAACATGAAAACAAAATGGAGTGTGTAACTAGCTTTACCGCCGACCTTACTGATTATTGCTAACTTATCAACAAGTTTATTATCAACAAATCGTATTTGACCCTTTTATATTATAGTAACATTATTTTATTGTTTACATTTGTCAAATGTCAAAATTTAGATGCATAAATGACGACCTTGCTTCCTTGATGTTGGCAGCTTGTAATTTATGGTCCCTTACCCACATTAAGGGTGAGTTGCATCAAATCGCTGGTTATCGTAAAAGTTATAATAGGGTTACAAGTGCAAAAACATATTCTCACAGAGGTTTTATGTGTTTTTCGTTTTTACAATGGAAACATTTGAACCTGAGTGTCACTAAATTGTCAAGATGGTGTCAAGAATGATATTTACGTAAATTAAAATGTTTGGAAATTCATATTTCGCCGATTACATTTATGTATCATACGCATGGTATTTTATAGTGACATAAACTTTTTGCCCACAGAGATGGAGAAAATGGTACTCTTGAGAAAATAAACTAGTTTGGCTCATTATTGAAACTGTATTTACTTTACTACTCAAATATGTAGTGCCAAAAATGAAGCAATAAAATTATACAAATATAAATGCATCTTATTTATTTTCCATATCATAAATTGTCCTGTCAATGCATATTATAAATTGTCCTTTTATGGAGGACATTTTTTTAAATAAGAGAAAAGGGACGAGCGCTGTTGCTATGGCCTTAGACACTCGGAAATTTGTCCAAACTGAATGTTTGGACAAATTTCGAGTTCCATCTTGGAAATCCATTATTTCCGAGCACGCAAGACTTTATTCTTCTGGATTACGTATAGGATAATAGTAGAGATTTTCTTTTTCCATTACTTTTTCCATTATTTGTACTTTTGAAGATAAGAGCTTGTGACAGTTGACACTACCGAACTGACACTGACCGTAACGCTAACTATAACCGCCCGAAATCGGGCGGTTATGATTAGTGTCAAATATGACGTCATTTTGACCAGCGCAAAACTGGTGTAGCGAATATCATGAACATCCGCAGACGTAACCATCGGGAATGTGCTGGTTAAGGTTTATAGTTAGTTAATGTAACTCACCCTTAATAAATTTTAAGGTTATTCCAAATATTACAGTTACAGATAATTTTAACTTTAACGGTAACCGGCGATATGGTGCAACTCACCCTAAGGTTTTCCCAATTTATTTATCCCCTAAGTTTAATAAAGTAAAAATATATAGCCTTAAGCGCGTCGTACGATTAGGGCTTTTGTTAAATAAGGTATTATTCAAAAATATATTATAAAAAAAAGCCCAAGATAGACCGAAATGGAGGAATTTGCTGGACCAGGCCCAGGCCCACCCGCGGCTGTAGTGCCTCTGATGATGATGACGATTGTTCAAAAATACGCTGTGATTGCTGATATCCTATGGCAAAAAGTATTGTGTGTTTACGCTTTATTATATTAATATAGAAGTAGATATACATATAGAAGTATAGATAGATAAATAATTAGTTATTAAAAATAGTGTAATAGTGTGGTTATTAAAAAATAGAGGAAATATCCAATTTCATGTAATCATCTGTGATATTATAGGGTTGATACTGAAGCCATTCAGGTCACCCTGTTTACAATGAGGTCATGGCCTACTTTACCTACTTACAAAGACAATGGTTACATTGCTTTTAATAAAATTCAAATAAAACTTGCATTATTCACTATTTGATTTACGTAATACAAGTTGTTCCGACTTCGTCCACATGGAATTAAAAAAAATAGTAAGAAATATAGCCTATGTTACTCAGTGATAATTGCTTTTAAATGGTAAAAGAATTTTTGAAATTGATCTAATAGTTTTTGAGCTATTTCAACACAAACAAAAATTCAAAATTAATCATAATCATCAAATATTTTTAAAGTGAAATAATAAAGGATTTATTTATTTAAATACAAAATAATACTCATTGCTACAATATAAGTTGTGTTATATTAAAAGAGATTTAAAAAGATATTCCTTAGTTAGTTTGGGTTTTCTTCTATCTTTGGGGGAACAGAACAGAAGGCTTACCTCGAATATTCTAAGAACGTTTTCGTAACATAAACGAAAAATTTAGATTTAAATGTGCAAAGTACACCAACAAATCTTATTCTCATTTTGTTGATGAAGTCACATAAATATTCATGATAGACCCTCAATAGGGCTCATAATTAAAACGAAGAATGAACCACATTCTCTAGAGTTTTGTACATTTTTTTATAATATAAGGTGACAAACGAGCAAGCCGCCACCTGAATCCACCGAAATGGAATGTGACCACTGCCCATGAACATCCGCAATAGCAGTGGCATTACCTACCATTAATTAACTTTGTTCTATTATAAAGATAATACATATAAAATATATGATTTTCATAAAATTTCATTTTATGTTAATTGGAAACATAAAATAATAAAAAATGTACAAGATATATGTTAATATAACTCATAAAAACATATCAGCATAAAAGATATTAATGATATGTCATGATAATAACATTTACTTTGACATACATTGAGATAAGACTGCATTGTACGTACAATAAAATATATTTCAATTACTTCTTAAAGTTTTCAATATTAAAGATTAGAATATGTAAATATAAAAACACTAGCTTTCACCCGCGTCTTTATCCACGTGGGATTTTAAAAAAAAACAAAAGCTTAAGCGTTCTTCCAGATTGTCCTCTAAGTCCATGTCAAATTTCATCGAAATCCATTCAGCCGTTTAGGCTACAAATCCTAACAAACATCCATCCATCTAAACTTTCGCATTTATAATATTAGTAAGTAAGAATTGTAAACTATAAGTCAATATTATTTTACAATAATTTACTTAGCTACAAAACAATATATATCATGCCTGTACCCAGAGGGGTAGGTAGATACCTCTCTACCTTCTTATTTGTATTTCACCAATCTTCATGGTCTATCTAATAGAGCCCCAAACAACACTGACACTTTCACATTGTAAATTCCTGTGCATTGAGTGGAGGAAGTGCGGACCAGTTTCACAACCTATCAAAAAGCACTGTTTAGGCGTGAACAATCTTAATGATCCCATTTCCCCTGCTCTCATAAAGGAGATATTAAAGGATATTCAGTTATAATAACCAATCACAGTTACATACATTCCACTGGGATATAGTATTTTGGTCGCTACAATATTTTTTTTTTATTTATTTATTTGTTTTAAATTATACCAGTAGCAGTTTATATATAGTCAAAGATTCTCACTAACAAGTTAATTCTTCCGTTAATTAGTAATCTTAGTAGTATTAGGGGCTATGGTTTCTGCAACTCCATAGCTAGCATGTATTTTGTAAAACTTTTACTCTAGCCGATTAACCAAAGAACCCCAGCGACTTTTTTATGTTACAGGTGATCTGGGAGAACCGAGATACCTAACCCTGCAGTTAAACTCTGCCGGGCAGTTTTGCTAGCTTAAATATGAGACTAAATTTAAAGGATAAGGAATTTTAACTTATATGGATGGAATACATCCACATAAGGGGCTCAGAACCTACACCTAATTATTACTAAGCTTTAGCCAACTATGCTGGTCCAATTCCGTTTGATATGAACAGATTTCATTGTTTTCCTTGATCATAAGAATCTTGGGTTTACATAAACATATTATAGTAAAAATCTTGTTGGTATAGGAAGTCTTTTTAACCTAAACTATTTAATTGAATATTTGTAACCTACAGGGTAAAGGTCACTAACCCCAGTATTTGTTAAACATTGGTACTATAATAAAAGCACCGCGTAAAAAAATTATAAACATGACCTAGTGGTCATTCATAACACACCTTTTTAGATGTCAAAATTTTAATACCTATTATACGTGGAGAAAGAATTTGTATTTCAACAAAAAACTTACCAGACTTTAAACATTTCTTGAACGCCTCTTCGGCAGTCACACGTTCCGGTTGTCTGTCTAAAGGTTGCGATAATTCCTGGGTGTATGTAAAATAGTTGTTTGATTTAACACTTTGCAACGCGGCGCCTATTTTCACGAAATTCCTTCGCGATAAATTTGGAATAACAACTTTACCCATCACTGACATTTTTGCTTTGATTTACAAAATATTGTTGTATGAACGTTTAAATTACTGTGTTAAAGTTTTAAATACAGTGTATTTATTGTCAGAAAATCGAACAGACCAGCGACCAACGAACTTGGCCGAACCGGAATCGTCGACGAACTTGGACCGACCGGCGTAATTTTAAGCGATTACGTCGTTTGTCGTTTATTCGGTTCGTTTGCGCGTGCGTACCGAAACCGAATGACAGTTAGTTGTATTAAATAGTGAAGTGCATCAGTTTGGTTAGTTTCGATTTTTTTTACGGGTTAAATTTTTCAAAACGTATACATTTTCAGTTCAAGCCATATTTATGAACCACTGTACTCATAAAGGTTTTTTTTTATTATTTTTATTAGTAAACATACAAATTGTAAAGTTCCAACATAAAAATTATAACGGTACGAAATAAGACTTCACAAGGACCCACGGATGCTGGATAGAAGCACGCTGTATATGAAAAAACACGTAATATCATTATTTATCAACTAGATCCTACTTTAATTATCTTTAATTTTTTTTTCATAACACTCACATAAAATAGATTAAAAGATTAAAAGATTATTTCCTGATAGGTAACGTAATCCAAAGTTTGTATTACTACAAATCGATTCATAATTATTGAATACTACTGTTGCCCACGACATCGCACGCGAGAAATTAAAAAAATAGTAAAAAAAAAACATGCCTACATTACTCACTGATAACGTAGCTTTTTAATGGTTAATGATTTTTTTTGAAATCGGCCAATTTGTTTTTAAGTTATTTCAATACAAAGTAAATATAGATTAAAACATTGTAAATCTAGTTTACGATTCGATGAGACAGTGCACGTCCTTAGTCCTTACTGATTACTGACAGAGACGAAAACAGCCGAGCCGAGTTAAATCTTATCAAAATTCAAAAACAACAACCAAAAATAATATGTATGTTAACTTAAAAAAAAGCGTTAGTTTTATATATCTTTTTTTAAATTTACAATGTCAAGCAATGCTTCCTTCGCAGCAGGTATTAAATTAATTTAGAAGATTAGATAAAGATAGGTCACGTTTAAAAAATTTTAATAGCTGATTAAAGACATACATAAATGCGTATATCTATGGAGACTAGTGCTTTGTTTATTTGTTTTTTTACCTTCCCTTACATGTGCCACAATTTACTGTATGCAATAATTTGCCGATAAATTATGTAAGGAAATTTTTTAGCAACCTACCATTTCATGTACAGTCGCAGATATTTGCGGTGTCCTACTTACAGAAAAAATGCCAGGTTCCATAAATCAGGAAAAACTCCGCCCCTTATTACAAACTAGCTGTTACCGTGCTATATCCGCATGAAATTATAAATTATTTTATTGTTTACATTTATCAAATTCTCAATTGCAAATGTCAAAATTTCCGTTACCATAATAACCTTGGTTCCTTAATGTTGGCAGTTTGTAGTTTATAATCCCTTTCCCATAAAATATATAGCGTGTCGTAAGTGTAGGGCTCTTTAGTAAGAAAAAATATTCAAAAATATTGTGTGATTGCAGACATCCCACGCCCCGGAGTAGTGTGTTTACACTTTATTATATTAGTATAGATTTGGATATAGATATCCAATTAGGTAAACCGAATTGGCCAAACGACCTTTCTGCTTTTGATGGAAACGAAAATGATGGCATTGTTCAATAAATGTAGATTGGATGAAATGGTGAGAAGTTCTAGTGTGATCCAAGAATGCCAGTTAAGCTAAACGGACAGATCTACAAGATCTACAGATCTACAAAGGAGATTGCATGTGACTAAGATGCGTACGTTAAGATGTATGTGTGATCTAACAAGAAGGGCTAAAGCTAAGAATGTGAATACAGAATATTTGAAAGTAGCGCCAGTTGTTGTTGAAATTGAGAAGCAAAAAGTTAGCGTGGTTCATATAATATGTCCATACATGTTATGCGACGATAGGATGAGGACATAAGCAAGATTGAATGGTTACAAAAGTAGAGGAAGGCCGAAGAAAGTATATATGGATTGTGTGAGAGAGGATATACTTATGGAAGTGAATTCAGATATGATGATTGTTACGTAAGTATGTAAATAAACCGAAACTTTTTAGACACATCATTACATAGGAAAAGTAAATTCTTCGTATCAAGACTAATATGGCATTTTTACATAAAATAGAACCTTGAATTTGCTATTAACGATTTTAAATCGATATAAAGATTATGCTAAAATATTGTCTATAAGATAATGATAAAAATAGGGTTGTAATCAACCTGTGAGAGACTTATTTCTTACTTATTTGACTTGTTGGTGGACCCCCTGCGAATAAAAAAATAATCCTTGCCACCTCCCCCCTTCATCAAAAGCTGGTGATGCCTGTTCTTCTGAGGACAATAGAAGACGAGGCGGGCATGCATTGTGGCGGGTAATAATGGAATGAAATGGAAACAGAGGGTTTTGATAGAAAAGTTTAGGAATTTCTTGGACTGTTTAAGGAAGATATAAGTAGTCTACACTTATTTCTTTTACTTCCTTAAAATATGCTGGTGTTGGTAATGTTTGATCTTACGGTTTCCACTGTCGAAAAATGTTTAAATGAAAATGAAAATATAACTACATTTTTTTTTAATTGATACATCAGCAGTCAGAGAGACAAAATGAATGAAAACGAATTTAATAGGAAAAGAACATCGTGTTGCCGATAAACAAAACAGCAGTATAATACACGTAACCTACGAATAAACTGTTTCTACAAACATGTCTATTTTATAACACTTCTATTCAGAAGTAGATAATTAGTAATTACTATACTTTTGTCAGCCCTAATTTACAAATCGCACACACATAGGTCTGAGGGTATTTAGATAACAACAGCAAAACATATATAAATACGAAACTGAAAACATTTATCTTAAAGAAAGTCAAAATCGCTTTAAAAATGAAACATGCTAAATTAACCAAACTCGTGACATTAATTTGGTGAGTACATTTATCCGTAAATTAATATTTAGTTAGTGCACAATTTAGATTTTTTTGCGAGAAAAATAATCCCTTTAACTAAGTGGAAAAAGGCAGGGGACTGCCATCCCGTTTTTCTATTAATCTTTAACAATAGACAAATCCCACTATTCCAATCCGTATACATTTTATTCACGAAAAGATATAGATCCTCAAGCAGTGTTGCCAATGCTACGGCAATTGCCGTGTCGGCTTTCGGGCCATCTAATTACAAAATCTACACGGAACCCTCCGTATCAAATACTATGGCTTTTCGAAAATTTACCACAATTCATTGTTATTTCTTTTATAAATTAAATTTTAAATAGCTTTTGTTTAAAAAATAAAAAAGCGTTAATTATTTCGACTGGGAATAGTAAAATTCAAATAAATTGTTTACGATTTTATAAAACAAATGAGGGGCAATTTTAACACAGTTTATTGATATAAAAAACGTTAAAATAGAAACATGTTATGAGAAGGGATGATTTAAATGTTACAAGGAGAACGTTAGTTATAAGTATGGAGGGAGGTACACCGGAAGAGGTAGACATAGACAGGGGTGGATGGATTGCGTGAAAGGTGACATGATCAAGAAGGGAATGATGACTGAGATGTCGCATGATAGAGTTTTGTGGAGGACAAAAACCTTTTGCGCCGACCTACGGGATCAGGATATGCAGGAAGATGATTGTAAAATATGGGTAACATTAACACAATCATCAGCTCATTATATGTCTCCACTGAGAGGGACGGAGTCTACCCTAAGTTAGGGGTGACTTAGTGAACCACATTGTACTCCTGCTGGTTGGTTAACTTCACACGTATCTTTGAAAATGCACCAATACGAGGTCAATTCTGAAAAGAAGTGTTTCACCAAATGCATTTTTGGAATATTCGAGTTTTAGTGTAAAGTGCAGGTTGTCTGTGGTTAAGTGGTTTAAGATTGTGCAAGCGTTCCCGTGACCCAGCCACTGGCGGATAAAAGGAACACCACTGGGTTTTTAGTGGGTATTCCGGCCATTTTCTTCTTCTTGGCCGGCGAGTCCCACATACCCCATCCCTGGTAAGAGGGGAGGTTGCGTAAATGCATTTTCCCAGCGAAAAAAAATTGGTTAAGTGGTTTGGATTGCAAGCTTGTTAACATTGATGTAAACATTAGCATCACCAGCCGATGGTCTACGCTAGGTGTAGGGGGGGGGGGGGATTAATCATTTAAAAGATCTTATTCGAAGTAGTATACTTATTTTTCGTTTTTCGATTACATAAATATAATTTTTGTATTTTTAAATTTAATAATAAATTTTCAGGTTTCTGGGTCTAGCAACTTGCGCTAATGTGAAGACGTTTCCGAAAGACTTTGAATTTGGCGCCGCGACCTCTTCTTATCAAATAGAAGGCGCTTGGAATGTTGATGGTGAGGTTTATTTACGATTTAATAGTGCCCATAGAAATAATTTAACGTTAATTTTAAACATAATTAAGATTAACGACGCTTTTGTTTAAATTCGTAATTTGAACAAAACACTAACAGTGTGTAAATGCCAGAATGTCAAAAACGTACGATTGTATACGTAGGAGTAATATACGAGTATACTAGCCGTTGCTTTCGACTTCGTCAGCGCGGAATTGAAAAAATCTAGTATTAAATACTCAATGATAATGTAGCTTTCTAATGGAATTATATTTTTGGGTGCTTTTGTTTTTTCAAGTTTTTTTTTTTTGTTTTTTTTTTGCGATTTTGGCGGTCCGACCAGCTTCTCTCCAATCGCCTTAAATGGTGTGCCTCTACCAACCTGCTCCGACTTTAAGTACCTCGGTTCTCTAGTCCAGTCCGTTGGATGAAATGGCGACAGGTTACTGGTGTGACTTGTGATCCAAGAATGCCTCTTAGGCTTAAGGGACAGATCTACAAGTCCATCATAAGACCTGTCGTATTGTATGGATCTGAATGTTGGCCCACCAAAGTTGCGGATGAAAAGAGATTGCATGTGGCTGAGATGCGTATGTTAAGATGGATGTGTGGTGTGACAAGAATGGATAAAGTTAAGAATGTGTACATTAGAGGAAGTTTGAAAGTAGCGCCAGTGGTGGAGAAATTGAGAAGCAAAAGGTTAGCGTGGTATGGACATGTTATGCGACGAAATGATGGGGACATAAACCAGAAAGTGTTAAGATTGAATGTGGATGGCTACAAAGGAAGAGGAAGGCCGAAGAAAGTATGGATGGATTGTGTGAAAGAGGATATGCTTAAGAAAGGAGTGGATTCAGATATGACGGCTGATAGAGATGTATGGAAGAGCAGCACATACTGTGCCGACCCTCCATAAGGGATAAGGGCAAGTGGATGATGATTTGTTTTTTCAAGTAGGATTGTTAATCATTCCCAGGCAAAGGCTGGTCAATGTGGGACCATCTGGTACGCACCGATCCAGAATTTATAGCGGACAACACTACTGGTGATATCGCTGCAAACTCTTACTACTTATACAAACGAGATGTGCAAATGCTCAAAGAACTGGGGGTCGACAACTATCGGTTCTCCATATCCTGGCCAAGGATATTACCTTACGGCCGACCAGATTACGTGAACCCTTACGGCGTGGCGTACTACAACGCATTAATAGATGAGTTACTAGCGAATGGTATAACTCCTTTCGTCACGATGTACCATTGGGAGTTGCCTCAGAATTTAAACGAACAAGGTGGTTGGTTGAATGAACAAATAATCGATTGGTTTGGGGATTACGCGAGGGTTTTGTACGAGAATTTTGGTGATAGAGTCAAGAACTGGATGACTATAAATGAGCCACATATACATTGTTACTTTGGTTATGGTACAGCACTACATGCGCCTAGGATCTTTTCACCAGGAGTTGGTTATTACGAATGTGGCAGAAATATTTTACTAGCTAATGCTAAAGCTTATCATATTTATGACGACGAGTTTAGAAGCTCTCAAAGAGGTGAGGTTGGGTTTGTCGTCAGCATGGAGTGGGCGATGCCTGAAAGTAATTCAGAAGATGACCTTGAAGCGGTGCAAGACTTTTTGGCGTTCAACGTAAGTAAACTTGTAAAGATAACACTTTATATTGTTTGTATTGTAATATTTATCGATAAAGGTGATATTGTGTTTGATTAGCTTAACATGTAGATTATGTCGATACCAGTAACAGTTTTTAGTAAACTATTTAAGTTTACCTTATGATTCATTAACGGCAAACTCCTGAAACGATATTTAAATATGTATACTATTCAAAATGAATATAGCAAATAAAGACTATTTTATTATTTCAGATCGGTCAATATATGGACCCGATATTTTCAGAAAAGGGCAACTATCCTCAGCGTATGATAGACAGAGTCCACGGTGCGAGTTTAAACCAAGGTCTCAATACATCACGACTTCGTCCCTTTACGGAGGAGGAGGTAGAATTCATGAGAGGGACTGCTGATTTCCTAGGACTGAATCACTATACAACCAGAATTGTGTATAGAAATGAATCACTTATAGGGAAATATCATGTACCATCTAATCATGATGATGCACATTATGGGGAATACAGCGATCCCTCGTGGCCTTTGGACACTGGATTTGTTTACGTAAGTGGGCTTAATTCTTAAAGTAGACTAAACTGTGTAAATACTTTTGAGTAGGTCGCAGCGTGTAAACGACATGACTTTGAATCCTACTTTCAATCCGACAAAATGGCATCAACATCTCTCCTTCCTTACCCTACTCCTGTAAGAAAGCACCAAGTTTTCGTCCTCGAGGTGAATCTATCTATCTTCATGTCCATCCATCTCTTTCTAGGTCTTCCTCTACCGACGTTAGACAAATAAGTAACCACCACCATCTTTTGACTGTCAAAATAATGTAATGGAATATAGGAATATGATAGTACATTCTTACTAGATTGGCCGTCAGTGCCTATTATTAAAAACTGTCTCCTGCAAGGCGAAATAATTGGAGGTAACATGTATATAAAATTTTTGTCGGAGGTAGGGCGAGCGCCCAGAGCTTTAGACAAAAAGGGGAGCCAAAACTAGCCTCTCGTAAGCCCGTAAATCCTTCTCCCTCCTAATATTGGTAAGAACGTATAAATCTCGCCTAAGGCGCTAGTAGCGGTAAAACCGGTGCTGTTTTAATGATGTAATAATTTAAAGTAATTTGTATTATAAACACCAATTTTACAAGATTATCCTTTATTAATCCTTTAATTTGCGATCTTATCTTGGTAAATGATGAAACTAGGTATTACATTAATAACGGAAGATACCTTTTAGATAAGATATAATAAAAATTAAACAAATAAATAAAGACAAACTGCACTTCACGCTAACAGTTCAAAGACCTAAGCTAACAGTACAATATCACTTGACCAAGAAATTAAAAAGAAAACTAGTAAAGTGAAACAACGAGAATAATAGATTTTGACTGTATTTAGCACTCTTAAAACATACGTTTGCATCTACTAGTCATCATAATGTCGTTAACGAACAAGCAGTCACCTGAACGCACCAAAATGGCGAATTTTCGCTGCCCGTAGGCATCCTCAATACCAGATGCGTTGGTCTTAATTGATAAAGAGATTTTCATTTCTATGCGTCTTCTCCTCTGTCATATCCATTTTCCCTTCCCATCTTTTTATAAGAAAAGAGTAGTAAAGGGATTAAAGACCTCCGGCACGCACACTCTTCAGACTGTACGCGAAGTTGCTCCCATGGGACGACTGTGCGAGTCGGCCCATTCGTGTGAAGATGCTCTACTGTGAATTTTATAATGCACTGTTTTTACAGGAATACGCTCCCGGGTTCTACAACTTATTGGTATACCTTAAGAATACGTATAACAATCCGAAAATTTATATAACAGAAAATGGTTGCTCTACATCAACAGGACGTAATGATGACCAAAGAGTACAATATTATAGGAACTATTTAAATGCCTTGCTTGACGCTTTGTATGAAGGCGTCAATGTTAAGGCATACTTTGCTTGGAGTTTAATGGACAATTTCGAATGGAGTTTCGGTTATGTGTAAGTATAATGAATACTGAAATGAAATTTAAATAATAACAGCGTTTAAATTCTTTGGTACAGTCGGGGAAACTGAAGTATTTAATCCTAACAGCTACAATCGTTTGCACATTTTAAATCGAGATGCGGAACAAAAATCAATACATTGCAGCTTATAAATGTATGATAAAAGTCGGTTATTGATAACACGGCTTTTCATTACTATCTTTTCGTTTGCACATATTACTATCTATTTAATTATATGTAAGAAGCCGCAGTGTATTGTTGCAATGAACAAGGCAATTTTTCCTGAAATGGTACACCGCGCATTTCCTCGACTGTACTTACGAAACTCATTTTGGTGTACCCTAACTAAGAATATGAAAGTATATCTTTATGACATTACATTATAATGTGTGAATCAATTCTAAATTTTTCCATAATATGATGAGACTTTTTATATTTCTGGTTAAGCTATTTCTTTATTTATGGTAAAATCTACATGTTTATTTTGTTTTTTTTTTCAGATTAAGATTTGGTATTTACGAAATTGATATGGATGATCCAGAAAGAACGAGACATCCTAAAAAATCAGCGCTCGTTTATAAAGATATAATCAGTACCAGAGTCATAGATTATAATTATAATCCAGATCCTTACTCACTATCAAATGCCTACAGAAGAGACGCTTCGATATTTATAATTTTACTGGCAACATTGAAATGTTTATTATAGATTAAAATGTATTTATATTGTAATTATTTTTAAAGATAGTTTAAATATTAATATTTATATTTGTTATTTATTTTGTAAGTTTAATTTGTTTGTTATTAAATTGATATTTTAGTTATTGCATTGTTATCCATTCATTTAAGCCCGAGTTAGCTGCGAAGTTTACCGAACGACGCACGAAAATTTACGAACACTATGTTTTGGGTATACCGAAACCGAAATTAAGGCCGAACCGAGACTACAACATATTCACTATATATTTGGCTGACAGACTTAACGTTACCTTATGATTTTCACGAAATAATACAAAAGGTAAAAGCGTAAAGGCTGTCTTGTAATATTTTGATGGCCCATGGTCAAATGGACTTCCTTGCGGCAGAATACTGAATCGAATCTTAAACAATTCGCTTTATAAGTGTCGCTAACAATCCGACATATTAGCAGCTCTTGTACTAGACGCATTCTCTTTCGAAAGAATTAGTAAATGATCTTAATCGTATTACGATTACGCTTAAGATTAAATCTTAAGCATTAACAGTCTGAATTAAATGGAGCAAAATAGTAATTTTTTTTTTGTTTGAATCAGAAAAAAAGCGTGATATTTGCCGAGAGGCCCCCTCTCTCCAACGTAAGATTAGATAGAAAAGAAGAATCTTCCAAACCAAAGAGAATATGTTTCAAACATTTATCAATGTCTTCATATAGGCTTTGTAATTGCAAAGTTAAATAAAGTTAATTAATTGTATTACGTCTGATTTTATGCAGATTGAGGAAAAAGTGGAACGACTTGATTTAAGGAAAGAGATAATTTTTAAAATTTTTAATTAAATATATAAGTGCGATAAAATAGATTATTAAACGATACGAGGAATGAATGAATTTTCTTAGATAGTGATATTCAGGGCTACCAACGTTAAAAAACGAATACTAAATGCGGAAGCACACTTGAATTTGTTTAATTTAGGTGTGTGTAGTACAAAAATGTATACATAAAAAACCATGCTAATATTATAAAGAGGAAATATTTGTATTTTTGTATATAGTGAAATAACTCAAAAACTACTAGGCCGATTAAAATAATTCTTTCACCAACAATTAGCTACGATATCACTGAGTAATATCTATATATCTATAATTATTACAAATTTTATTTCCACGCGGATGAATAGGCGATCAAGAGGTAGTAAAAATAAAATGTAGTAATAAAATGTGAATGTCACCCCTAATTATAAAATGATTACGTATTACGTAAATACTATAAATATATTCTGATAATAGAATTAGAATATAAAGGGACTTTGTGCATAAAAATAGTTAAAACGGTTAGTGGACATAAGGAAAATGAAACGCCATCTATCGGATTTAGTTTTCTTCCTAATGTAAGGACAATTAAAGCCATATACATTAACCATTTTTTTTAAAAACGAATAATGTCTGAACTCTTCTTTACCGATTTTGGCCTACATTTATAGTAAAAAAGCTAACATTTTCAACAGTCTCATAAAAATTTACATCATTGCATTTATTTTGATCCAAATTAACGCTGGTTATTTTAAAAGTACATGATTTTTATTCTAAGTTTAAGGTTATATTTTTAGTTTTTATTGTAGGTTGCTTGGTTTATCAACATGCGGAGGACTAAAAACTTTTCCACCAGATTTTGAATTTGGAGCCGCGACATCATCTTATCAAATAGAAGGGGCTTGGAATGTTGATGGTATGTTTTTATACTTTTTATAATGGAAAAAAACTCACAATGTCTCATAATTATAGTGCCAAATATAACCAATGAATACCATTATTTTGTTAAAAGTAACTACAACTGTGTCTAATTCTAAGGGAGAAGTGAATTTCGTTATTTATCAAAATACTAATTAAGGGTTTCCAGTTTCGAAAAACTTTCATAAAACCATATTGTCTTTCCTATTACTCCCTTTGAAAAAACATAGACAGTGATATAATAGTGTTGTGCAAAGGTAATTTCACGGTAAAAATTGGTGATGTTCTTTTATTTGAGTCAGTGGCTCAGCGGTTTAAGCACTTGACACAAGTCAAGCGGAATTCGAACCCAAGACCTGTAGATTACAAAATCTACAGGTCTTGGGTTCGAATTCCGCTGCACCAATGTGGTTTTCGATTTCTTCAAAATTCATATGTACATAATTTATCCGACGTTGTTACTGTGAAGAAAAACATCGCGCTGCATCCTACACATATTGCAGAAATTGAAACATATGTGTAAAGTCAACCAACCCGCACTTGGTCAACGTGGTTGACTAGTCACCCCTAACTTTTTTGTATGCTCCAAGCCCCTCAGTGGGGACAAATATCGAGCTGGTGATGATGAATATTTTATTTTAACAGGTAAAGGATGGTCTATGTGGGATCACCTCGTGCGCACCACACCACAGCGCATCGAGGACATGACAAACGGAGACACAGCTGCCAAATCTTACTACTTATACAAAAGAGATGTTGAAATGCTAAAAGAACTTGGTGTCAAAAATTACCGGTTCTCCATATCCTGGCCGAGGATATTACCTTACGGTCGACCAGATTACGTGAACCCTTACGGCGTTGCGTACTACAACGCATTGATAGATGAGTTACTAGCAAACGGTATAACTCCATTCGTGACGATGTACCATTGGGAGTTGCCTCAGAATTTGAACGAACAAGGAGGTTGGATGAATGATGAAATTGTTAATTGGTTCGGTGATTATTCGAGAGTTTTGTTTCAACATTTCGGCGATAGAGTAAAGCACTGGTTGACTATAAATGAAGCTCATGTCCATTGTTATTTGGGCTACGAGGTGGCTCTACACGCGCCACAGATTTCTTTACCTGGTGTTGCGTACTACGAGTGTAGTAGGAATATACTTCTAGCGCATGCTAAGGCATACCGCATCTATGAGGCAGAGTTTAAAAGCACACAAGGAGGTGAAATCGGTTTCGTTACAAGCATGGAATGGGGCGAAGCAGAAAGTGATTCGGCTACAGATAGAGAAGCTTTACAAGATTTTCTATCTGTCAATGTGAGTATTGAATAAGTAGTATATCGTGGAAAGAAATATAAAAATGGGTTTGACTAAACTATCGCACTATTGTTGTGCAATTGTCGATTGTTTCGCAGTCCATTCGACTGTTTAGTTGCACAACTAAAAATTGAGTAGTGTGCGTCATATAATCTCATAGGAATCAAAGCGAGACTAAACAGTTCTGCGATAGTTATTCAAGTGTGCGCAAGCCCTTACTGATGGATTTGTATAAAGTTATTTTAGAAAAAATATTCCTTAAGTCAGTTCTATAATTTATTTAATCTATGTATTTTTCAGATCGGTCAACATATGAATCCGATATTTTCGGAGAGCGGTAACTTCCCCCAGCGGTTGATTGATCTTGTTAACTCAGCGAGTATTAGACAGGGACTTAACGAATCACGATTACGTCCGTTCACCGAAGAACAGATCGAATCAATCAGAGGATCGGCCGATTTCCTTGGATTGAATCACTATACGAGTAGAATTATTTATAGAAATGAATCTCTGAACGGTACTTTCTTTGTACCTTCGTTGCGAGATGATACTTTTTACGGAGACTATCCCCATCCTTCTTGGTTTTTCCACGGGGGATATGTTTATGTAAGTCTAATTTATATACCTTGCTGTACATCCATATTATACCGGGTGACATGTTCAAGGGAGTGATGACTGAGATGACGTATGATAGAGTTATGTGGAGAACGAAAATCCGGTGCGCTCTTACGGGAATAGGATAAGGTTGGGGAGATAACAGATTTTTATTTTCATTTTTAAATTCAGCTTTATAGATGAACAATCAGACATAAAATTAATATAAATCATAGGCCTTACTTGAGAAGATATTAGTGTAGTAATTAACGATAATAATAGACATGGTTTTCACTAGCACGGCTTACGATAGCAGTTGCGATGACAACGCTAGTGGAAAAAGGGATTAATTCATTGCATTTGGTTGCTTTTTTATTTTTCAATCGAAAAATTCATGGCCAGTATTCAATTGTTTTTATAAAAAAATCTAATTAAAGAAGTATTTTATAGATTTTAATCGTAATTTAATCTGAAGAAGTAATTAATACTACGTAAAAGTTGGACGAAGTATAATTAGTTCTATGAATTAATGAAAATCATTTTATTATCTTTCATCAAACCGTGATAATATAAATGATGAAGTATGAAGACAAAATGACTTTAATCTAAGGAAGGAAACGATTTAATAATCTACGATATTTTATCTATTTAGTAAAAATTACAGTTTCATAATAACGTAGATGTAGTGACATTTGAATTTTAATTTTGGACCTTAATCTATATCTGTATAACCTCAAAAATATCGTTAGGCACTGTTTAATAAAACACGTGCTTTAACATTTTGGCCGCTAGTTGATATTATTGACGTCATCGTAGTTATCTTACGTTACTTGTTAGTCTTTGTAGCCTAAACGGCTGAACGGATTTTAATGACATTTGGCATATACGTAGAGCATAGCCTGGAAGAACACGTGGGCTACTCATTTTTGTTTTTTTTTTTATAAAACGCGAATGGAGTCGCGGGCGAAACTTAGACACTGTTTAGTTGAAGTTTCTGGAACACTAAAAATATTTTATCTATAATTTAATTTGACTATTTTAAACTGCATAAAAACATTATCCATTTATTTTAATGTCAATCAAAAAAACAATTTTTAGGAATATGCCCGTGGATTCTACGATTTATTAATTCACTTGAAAGACAATTACAATATTCCCAAGATATACATAACAGAGAACGGTTGTCCGTCTGTCAGAGGTCTCAATGACACCCACAGAGTGCGGTATTACAGGGAATATCTGAGTGCCATTATTGATGCCATTGATCAAGGTGTTAATGTCAAAGGTCACTTCGCATGGAGTTTAATGGATAATTTTGAATGGACTTCTGGATACACGTAAGTAGATAAAATTTAAATGACTAATCATACTTAATAAATTACTTGATAATCTAAAATAATCAATAATGTTATCTTAATCACGCAATCTTTAATTTAATTTATAATTTATTTTTACGGACGGAGTCTCGAGTATGTTTGTATGTTGTCTCATTTAAAAGTTTAAAAGTTAAGGAACTTGTGGTGTTTCACCTTTGCACAGATAAAATAGAATAACGGAACACAACCGCTTCACTCCACTGCAGGAATACGACCGACTGCCCTCCGCCCAGCCACGCCCTGGCAGAGACAACCACACTCGTAGTCAATAGACTACTAGTCATCACCCTACATGTAGTCGACACACTACTTGTAGGTCAATACACCATAGAACTGTTTAATAGGAACGAAACTTGTGACACTTTATTGACATTGGCAGAAGGGCCCTAGTTATCTATCACAATTTAATTCAATTTATGCCCACCGGGTCAGATATCCTTGACGGAATATACTTGACAATACAAATTTTGTCGATGACATAACAAAAATGTTATCTGTAATCACGAAAATTAGTGAAAACCCCTCGGTTTAATAATACTGATGTGTATATAATAATAATAATTCATGTTTGATAGTTTTGTGTTTTGTTCTCAGAATAAGATTCGGTATCTACGATGTTGATATGGACGATCCAGAAAGAAAAAGAACGCCGAAGAAGTCAGCTCTAGTATACAAAGAAATGGCAAGAAGTAGAGTTATCGATTACGATTTTGATGTTGATCCTTACGCACCCTCTAGTGCTTCCGGTAGAAATGCATCGATATTTATATTTTTATTACTGGCAATACAGAAAGTTTTAGTATAATTTTTTTTGTACCTACACCTAGTCTTTGTCTAAACTTAATTAGTGTAATAAAATTTAATTAAACAATTCATTTGAACTCTTTGAATGAAATCATCGAAATAACGATGGGGTCCACTAATTTGTAAAAAGTGTTATAATTAACTTTTGTCAAACAAACTTCTTCATAAATATGTAAATTAAACTTAATTTGAATACATATCGCAATGTTCACATTAACACATTTTCAAAGAAATTACGAAATATTGGTAGCCGACTAAACTAAACGACGCAGTTGGGTTATAAACTACAGTTTTTAGGTTAGAATTAACAATTGAATTGTAGAATTAAAAATAACGGTTGTAAATAAATTATGTACATCGTTTTATTTATATGTATATCCATACTAATATTACATGTTTAAGGACATTAAACATGAATTTGATTTGGTTGTTTTGCGTTTACCTTTTAAGAAACTCTAAAAAAAGTGATCAACTATTATTACGTTAAAACCGAATTGCGTTGCGTTTCTGTTTGATCTGGGAAATCTTCGAAACGGTTGGACTGGTTTTGATGGGATTTTCAGTGGACGATAATTGGGAATACAGGCGTTTTTTTTAAATTCTATGCCCTGGAAGTCGTTAGGAAATGCTAGTAAATAATATAACTAATTTTTTTGTAAGAACATCATAATTTTTATTGTGTTTGAGATCGTCTGATTTTTATATTACAACTAGCTTTCGCCCGCGACTTCGTCCGCGTAGAATTAAAAAAAAATACAAAAACAAGTATCTACGTGTTCTTCCAGACTATGCTCTACATCTATGCCAAATTTCTTCCAGATCCGTTAAGCCGTTTAGACTATAAAATCTAACAAACATCCATCCATCCATCTAAACTTTCTCATTTATAGTATTAGTAAGATAGTAAGATGTATTATTAAAAACATTCAAATATCACGTGCTAATTAATGTCATTAAGTAATTACCTAATTTAATCATATCATAAATCAGACCAGACAATACAATCATATAAAATGTAATTTTGTGATAAGTTATTTTTTGTATCTGTAATTATCTTTGTATTTAAATGTATGGGAATTCCTAATTGGTTTCAAGTTGCTGTTTTTCCCTATTTATAAATTATCTTTTATCTACAAATAATCAGGCGGTCACCTGAATCCGCCAAAATGGCGAGGCAATCGCAGCCCGTAGACATAGACTAACGTGAAGATGCGTTGCCTACCCTTAGTCGTCGGAAGAGAATCCCTTCCTATCCTTTTCTTTTCCTGACAAGAAAAAGTTTGATAGGGAAAGAGGCTATAATTATGCCTCCAGCACGCACACTCATCAGACTGTAAGCGGAATTCCTCCCACTTCACGCCTGTCTTCTGTGTGGTCGTGGCATTTCACCGGACGAGTCTACCCATTCGTGCCAAGATGTTAAAGCGGTCTCTACCACTGTTAAACATAATTTTAGACAGTGAAAAATGTATTTGTACTCAGGATTTTTTTTTATTTTGTTGAAATAATAGTAAAACTATATTTTTTCTTTTTAAAGTTATCTTGCTTTTATCGTAAGCTTAAGCTTAGCTTAGCCAATAATTCAGTCGTTATACAGCATGAGCGGAATCTCCTCATACGGACTAAAGACTCTGTTGACGAGAATAAAGTATAGTAATGCTCGGTTCACACTAGGCCAGTACAGTTTTTAGGTAACACTTATTATCTGGACGTCAATCTATTGGCACAGTGTGAACGCTAACTAGCGCCAGTGACTTCATACAATAAACGACTTGCTGTTGAAAATGTGGAACTGTACTGGCCGAGTGTAAATCGGGCATTAGTAAAAGTATGGAATATTGTCCATCGCGTACGATTGATATCGACTTATGAAATGGACTATGACATACGTAAATAGTAAATCTCTCGCACTACGCATGCGCGCACTAACCAGAGAAACTGCGCACTTTGCATAAATAATCGTAGTAAACTAACCTTTCCTTCAATGGGGAGTAGAAATAGTTAATAAATCGTCGTTTTCATACCCCTGTAAAAAAAGAATAGCAATTTCACGCCACTGATTAATTATTTATGTTTACAATTTTGACGTTGGTTATTTAAATAAATTCTATAATATCTCTCATTCTCTTATTGAGTCAATTGATCTTTAATTTAAACACTCTTTACTTATAAAAAAAATATTAATTTAAATTCCTAATTTTTTTAGATTTCAGTTCAGTGGTAAATTAATATTTTATTAATTTGGCATAACTATAAATTATATTTCAATATAAATTTTTAAACAATTTTCTCTAATTTTCATTCCAATACAGCATCATTTTTTTTATAATCTTTTATTATCTGTCAGCCAACGGGTTGCCCAGTGCCGTGAAATTTATTTCTTACTACACATCTATTGTTGGAAACATTTTAATTCTTGTGCATATAAATAAATTCAAAATTCGTTGATTTCTGCTATTTTTTTTCTGTAACTACATAAATTTTGTTACTTTTTAGAATAAGAATATAAACTTCAGATCAACCCGTAGGAAAAAGAAAGGTAAACTATGCCGCCATTTTATCTAAGGAAGGTGAGAACTTAAAATGTAGTTGTGGAAATAAAAACAGTTGACATAGTAGTAAAATAATAATTATCGAGTAAAGTACAAAATTATTATTTATAAAGTCATTTTTAAATTGTCTTTTCGAAATTGTACCGTTTGGTAATATTTTTTGTAGCGTCTAGCAACTTACGCCTTGTGATGGGTCACGTGACGGCACGTGAAAGGCCATAGACAATACATCCATTCGTCAGTTTTCGGGCGAGAAGGCAGCGCAGTTTGGTGTTTCACTGAGGGGACTGCCCAAAGAAAACTGAAACATGGCAAAAACCATCTCCGTAAACCAGGCTGCCAAGGAGCATGCCCTTGCTGTATCCCGGGACTTCATATCGCAGCCCCGTCTCAGTGAGTATTTGATTTAGGGAATCCATTTTCCATGTCCATTGGCTCGATACATCTTGGTTGTCAAATTATTGATTTTGCTTATAAGACTAATGACTTCATTTCGGTTTTCTTCTATTATTAGCTGTAAGAACGTAGATTTACAGCATATCATTCTAATTTGCGTTAGGTAATGTATAAATTATGATTTTCAGCACTTTTTCGTGAAAATTATGTAGCCTTGATTAGCTTATCATTAGTTCTAATTGACATCTTTTGGGACGGATTACCTTTTTGAAAGATGTTTTAACGCTTCTTATAAATAATTTTTTACCTATAACAACACAATTCTATATGATTCTTATTTGAAAATTTATGTGTCTAACATTGAAACTGTACTTGGGTGTATTTGTTGTTCACGAAAGAAGTAATCGTTCAGAAGAAAGGAGTAAAACATACAATTCGCTACGCTGATTAGTATAGAAGAAAATTTACCTGTAAAGTGTTTCATAATTTATGTAATACAATGGGAACATGCCCACATAAGAATTTTCTTTTGATCAGCTGACTGGTTTAATGAACTGTCTATGGTTTGGTTTTACTTTTTTTAATAGTAGTGAAGAAGGTTCATAAAATTAGGACATTTTATAATAGTGAAAATAAAATGTCTTCAAACCTTGAACAAATACCATCATGTGATCTAGCATGATTTTAAAGATGTATTTTATGTTTGATTCTTGATTTAATTATTTCTTATACAATAATTAAAAATATAATTGCATAAAATATGTACAGTATTAAATAAGATTAACATTAATATTTCAAATAATTTATTAAGTATTCATTAAAAACACTGAGTATGTTAGTTTTATGCAAATTTTCTTATTAGAAAGGGTGATGTTTTTTTCAATTTTTTCATGAAATACATAATTATATCATAAAAATAGAAATAAAAAGCAATTGAAGTGGTAAAATTCTAAAGAATTGAAAATCTCATATAAAAAATGATGGAAGATATAGTGATAAGATATCAGTGAGATAAATTTCATAAAGTATTTTGTACTGTAGCATTTTCAAAATAAAAACCTAAAATGTTTCAAATATTTAGAATTAATTTATTTGTTATTTTTTTAATGTCACAAAATATAAACAAAAACACACATGAAATGCAGCAAGAGTTAAATCTTAACCCATTATTTTACATATTGTATTATTTGTTGTGATATAGCATACAAGACGGTGTCTGGTGTAAATGGCCCTCTGGTCATTCTTGATGAAGTCAAATTCCCCAAGTTCTCGGAGATCGTCCAGCTCAAGCTTGCTGATGGAACACTCCGGTCTGGACAGGTATGTTTCCTTCTGAATTATAGAAAATAATTCACACCCATAACACAAAGGGATAGGTTGAGACTAGTGGTGCTGTTCTTTTGTTTCAAAATTCTTACACCTAACACATGCAGTTAGTTTTATGAACTCTTGATATCTTCTTAGTATTTTCTAGATGGTATAAGAATGTCGGTGGCTCAGTGGTTTAAGCACTTGACTTGTAATCTACAGGTCTTGGGTTCGAATCCCGCCGTACCAATGTGATTTTCGATTTTTCGAATTTTCATATGTACATACTTTTCCGACGTTCTTACGGTGATGGAAAAAATCGTGATGCAACCTGCAAATATCAGCGAAGAAATTCAAAGATATGTGTGAAGTCAACCAACCCGCACTTGGCCAGCGTGGTTGACTATGGCCTAGTCACCCTTACTTAGGGTAGGCTCCGAGCCCCTCAATTGGGATGTATAATGAGCTGGTGATGATAGATGGTATAAGTCCATTAGGGATGGATCAACCAACTCTGCCACTCACATTTGCATTATTAAGTTGCTTTGTTAATCTTTATTCATTCATCCTCAGAACTTACTTAAGATAATCTTTTTTATACAATAGGTAAATTCTGAAATTATGGTTATCCAACTTTTGCAATATATTCACCTCATGAGATTATCAAAATTAAAAAAAAACTATTTTATTAATAAGATTTTAGTCTTCCTTTTGTTTTTACTTAAGTTTGTTACTATTCATTCAATAAAAATTGTCTTTAAGCTCTTCCAAGGGGTACTGCAATACCACTACACATTTTCTATATTTTTTATCTA